GGAATCTTTGCAGCTGGCACATTTACGGATATCCAAATCATTTTTGGTGTGTCCGTCAAGCGAAACACGTGTCTTCTTCTGTATGTCCTCGAGCTTGTACACACTACTTCAAGTTAGCAAACCAGTGAAGTCACAGAAGCCTGCGAAAAACTCTCCGTTCTCAGTTCTATCACTGAGGGCCTCCAGAGCCATGTTGTGTTCTCTATCTAGATTGCTTGCTCCTAGCTTGATATTCATATCACCCGTTAGGGCCTTGATGTTACCATCTGTATGCGATCTTGTCCATTGCCGTTCGCACTCGTCTGTGGAACATTTCCTTCTCCTGATCTGTTGTTATTAGGTGCATAGATTTGAATAATTATAACTCTCTTACCGTTTCATTTGAATCTAGCTTTCATGATGCAAGAGGAGATTGGTTCCCACTGTTTGGTAGCTTTGTATAACATCAGTGACATCATGATAGACGCTACTTCAATGTTTTCATGGTTATCATCTGAGTGACTGGAGTAGATTACTGAATTTCCAGTAAGTACTTTGAATAGTCCACTTCCATTCCATCTGTTCTCATGCATTTCTGGCACTTATATATCGTAACTTCTCATATGTTTTGCAGTATGAGCAGCCTTCGTGGTTTCAAACAGTGTGGGGACACTCAATACCCCGATGCTTATTTTTGCCTTCGTGGTGTAGCGGTAAATAATTCCCCAAAATTATTGACCACAGCAATCATCACTCAACATTGGATGCTGACCCTCACTGTGTAAGTCGACTTGTTTAGCTGAAGGCTTCCGGTCAAGCATCCCCACCATTTGGTACTCCGTCGTGTCACGTGCGTGCACGATTACTAGCTAGCTAAGCATTCACTTCAACCCGCGATTTGGTCCCGAAATATAATACGTACTTTGGACGGCTAAATCTGGTCTTTTGCTTTATCTTTCGTACTCGAAGAACGAACACTATAGCAGTTGTTGGTATAATATCTTGCGTTAGTATAATCCGTACAACCCGCGAACGTCGACACCTGCAACCCCTAAAGTGGAAACAGAACATCAGCTGGCTAGTTTTTTAAAGGCTTTCAACAGCCCGCATCATTGCACTTCAACGACACCAACGAAGACTAAGTCTGGTTTTTAAATTCTGTCCATGTTTTGGAGTTTCCATGGCTAGTGAATTGATTTCCCTGTGGAGGGTTGCTGTCGCCATGCCTAGTAAACTAGTGGAGTTTTCAGTCTTGGATGCCCCGAACCTTCTCACAGCGGGATAACTCAAACTACGGCATTTAGATAAATTCATTTTGGTGACTGAAGTCTTTCAGGTGTAATTTGTGGGACACTGTGAGCAACCACTTGTTGTGTGGCAGAAATGCAGTGTATCACATTTTCGTCAGGTAGTGATAGTGATAATAACAATAATAATGATAGTGATAATAATAATAATATTAATGACGACACCAACAATAAAGAATCTAAATCATCAGTAGTAATTCCATACAAGGAAGGAACCTCGGAAGCCCTATCGCATTTTCGGTTGTATACAACAAAGTCTTCGGTTAAAAACATAATTCAGACGTGAATGCTCAGCTTTTTATTCGATTAGGAATTTATTTGGAGTATGTGAAAAGTGAGACATTTTCTGTCCAGTTTATTTAATTCACCCAGATAGTTTTTCGCTGAAGCTAGGATATGTTGAGGTCAAATCACCTCCCAAATCATTTCATCGCCTACAGAAATCACTTGTTTCTGGAGAATTTTTAACACAGCCTTCATAATTATATAGTCATTGTGATGTGATTTCCTGCATTGTCACCAGAAGAACAGTTAAAGTATTCCATAGCTAACCGCTCTAGTATATGCTTAACCTAGGATGCGTAGCTCCACTAGGATTCTTCACTGAAACAATTCACAAAGTTAGATTAAATGGCACAGCATTATTAAGCATCATGAAGTTGTACTGGATGCATATTTTAGCGGTAGGTAATTCCCCAGAATTTCTGGCCTCAGCATTCATCACTGGTCATTGGATGCTGACGCTCACTGTTTTAGTCGATTTGTTTAGCTGAAGGCCTACGGTCAAGCATCCACGCCATTTGGCACGCCGTCGTGTTACATTCGTTCATTCGTGCACGATCCCTGGTTAGTTAAGCAATCATCTCGCAGTCCGATTTGGTCCCAAAATATAACTCGTAATTTGGACGATCAATTCTGGTATTTTACTTTGCCTTTGGTCCACGTGGAACGAATACTATATAAGTTGTGGGTATTATAACTTGCGTTAGTATACTTCGTACTATCCATGGAATGTCAACACCCTTAGCCTCTAAAATATAATGGCACTTTTATGGTTTAGGCTTAGACTGTATGCAAAGGAGAAATTTGTCCAGTTTCTGCTTTTTCATTCATAGTCCTCTCCCTATGTTGACCTGCTTCTGTTATCAATATTTACTTCCATATTACTACTTTTATCACATTAGTTTCTCTAAGGTCTTCAAACTCCTATCAAATGGATAGTCTGTAGTGACCCATTTTATTACTCATAATCGTACTATACTTTCATTGTGTAATTGTACTTTGATTTGTTATTACTCTAAATCTTGCATGTTAACAATTGATACTTTTGTGCTCGCTCGATTTTTGAATTTTGATTGCTGCAATAATACACTGTCGTATTCCTTCGCAAGTGCCTTTTGAATTACGTTGTGGACGTCGAGTAATCACAACGTTAGCACACAATTGTAAACGCGAAGAAATACTAGAATATACGTGTACTCTAATTCAGTCAAAATATCAGCAGCAACAATTGGTAAGCCTGACATAGCTGATTGATGGACTACATAATTTTGGAGTATACACAGTGGAATAAATCATCTTTGCCATCGCATTAACTTTTATATCTTCATAACATTTGGATGTATAATTACTGATATTTCTGCTAAAAGTACCTCCGGACCTGGCGGCACAGCGACTGCTATCCCAGTTCACCCTGATACTCAAGCAGCTGGAGCAGCTGGCTGTTATGCAACACCTCAATTCCAGTTCTCTGTCCTCAAGCTTCAGCATTGCCTACAGGTGTGCAAACACTCTTACAATGGTCTGCAACTCCATTTACTCAAGCCGGTCCTACAGCTGTTCAATTACAACAGTTTACCCAATCACCTCAACAACAACAGATTCAAGCACAAGCTCATCAGTTACAACCAGCTCAGCAGCAAGCTTATATCCAACAACATCAGCAACAACCAACAATGATGGCAACTGATGTCTCTGTCAGTGGTCAACCTTGTACTGTAGCTGCATGCTCCTATGCTACTCCCCAGTTTATCACTCTGGCACCAGGAGCTCCATTAAAAGTCATGACTGTTGGTCCTAACGGTCAATTGATTCAAACCACTGGTTTACCACAGTTTATGCCAACTGCTTCTGTTGGAATGGCTATCAATCAACCAACTTCTACTCTCCAACCTCAGCAAACATCAATTCAAGTTACTCCTCAACGCCGAGTAACAACACCCCAGCAACAACAACGACATACTAACGAACTTCCACTTCCAACCGTATCAGCAGCAGCAGCTACTGCTGCACTCTTCTCTGGCACAGCCATCTCTTCTTGTACAATTCCACTTGTACAACCAGCTTTCATGGAAATAGAGGTAACTGAATGTTTACCCAAGTCATTTCCATACTACCTTATTACGGTACTATTAACTGTATGTTAAGATATAAATCTATTCTGTAACTCCTTACAATAACAACCCCATTATTATTCTAGTAATTTTTCTGGATTTATTGTTACATTTTGCACAACTTTCTAAACATTTTGGTTCGTTTCGAAGTTGTTAACATTTTCGAATATATACAGTTATATTATCAAACCCCAAAAACTTAAAATCCTCAATTCGGCTTTCATACCAGAAACTCGTATATATTTCTTCTGTAATTATAATTTACAATATCATTCCGAATACAGGTAAACTTCATTTACCTGCATTCTACGGAGGGGCTATTGTAGTGACCCATTTTATTACTCATAATCGTACTATACTTTCATTGTGTAATTGTACTTTGATTTGTTATTACTCTAAATCTTGCATGTTAACAATTGATACTTTTGTGCTCGCTCGTTTTTTGAATTTTGATTGCTGCAATAATACACTGTCGTATTCCTTCGCAAGTGCCTTTTGAATTACGTTGTGGACGTCGAGTAATCACAACGTTAGCACACAATTGTAAACGCGAGGAAGTACTACGATATACGTGTAGGCTAGTTTAGTTAAAATATAGCAGCAGCACAAGTCAGCCAATTCATTAAACTACCACATTCCTCATTCAACATTGTATACTGACCTTCAGTATTTTGATAGACTTGTTAAGCTGGAGGTACGCGGTCAGGCATCCGCGCCATTTGGCACGCTATCATGTTGCGTTCGGTCGTTCATGTACGTACCTTATACAGTTGAGCAACTGTCACTTTTCTTCATTTCTGATCCCTAAAAACAACATATTTCCCATTTTAGCCACTCGATTCGTTGTTTTGGTTTGTCTCTGATCTCAGCAGAATAAGTACTGTCAGAGTTACAGGATTAACACTTGTGTTTGTATACAACGTATTTTACGTAACCATCCACATCCTTCATCTCCTAAAGATTATTATGACTTACATCGCGCCTTTTTCAACATGATAACGATTACCAATTTATTACATTTTCGGGAATTAGAATTATTATGTGACTTAACACTAATTCCGACTGGACAGGCTAAAACAATAAAATAATCGAAGGGAAATGTCTTATTGAATCGGTTTTTAATCACACACAGAATTATAAAAGGCGTCTTAATCATTTCGATTATTGAAAGCATGAGGCATTAAAATCTTTGCATATGTTTTTACTATCGAATATCTAGTGAAAAACCACACTACAGTTCGAACAATAGGTATTTATTATATTATCAAACAACAAACGAACAATTTAAAATTGCAGTAACTATGAACATTTTCGATGGAGATTACTCCTTCAACTGTCCAGCACGAATCGGTTTAGCTACAAAAATAAAATTCAAGAAAAGTAATAGTAAGCCGGCTTATTCATTATTATGCTTATTTCCTTATCTGAATATAAGTCACAAATGAATTGTAGTCATGTAAAAGATTTGAGGGAGGATTGTTTACGGATCAGCTTCAGTCATCTCTAATAAGAACGTGTCTTTAGGTCTACACTAATTAAGTTAATTTTCTTAGTAATTTTGATTCCACTATGTTTTTTATCCAATCTTCCTGTTCATCACAGTTCACAATCTTATTAATTTGACCCTTTACCGGAAATAGTTGTAGAACTTTCTCATCCATCTACTATAAGTACACGAGTGTACAGCCCAGCTGATGACCTTGTCTAACTGTCATTTTAATATTTCATAAATCAGCCTTGACTTCGGCATAAACGATTGTTGGTGAATGTTAGGGATTTACAAGTACCTCTTCATTGGAAAGAATTTTTTCAGGCAAATTATTCATTTATGTAGTAGTGTAACGACAGATGAAAAGGGCCAGGCAACAGATCATTTATTGAGAAAATCAACAGATATGAATAGATTTTTATGTGCATTATTATTAGCGTTATTGTTAGCAGAGACGCAACGTCTTCTGATTGGTTGTTTTCTTGCTGAAGGTTATTCTGTGCTGCTTGTGACCGTTTCTCAGAAAGTTAAGCCATATATCTGCGAATCGTACTTGCACACGTCAAGTCTTCTGTGATCGGTCGGTGAGTTCCTCAGGATTAAGCTTTGTTGTTGTTCTTTCTCATGACCCCGATTCGGAACGTAAACGTTGACATAAATTGTTGTTTACAATTTTGGCTTGCAGACAGCTGTCACCACACTACGGATCAATAAAGTGACCCACTATTGTCTAAAACACGATGACTTAATTACTAAAGTAAAAAGAAGAATTCGTTTCCTAAGCTTTGGCAAAATCGAAATTGTCTCATCTCTCAAGTGAGGCGAATGCGACATGAATTTAATTCAAGCTTATATATATAGGGGCTATTTGATGAGTATCAAACCTAGGTTCACGGTTTATGATCATCTAAAACGGTATTATTGTGTTACTGAAATATACATTTTTACTCAATTTTAGATATAATAATATCTGACTGTTGCACGATTCACTCACAAGTGTTATTATTCAAGACAATGAACAGCTCTGTATTAATTTATACATATATCCAAACCAAGTTCACTTTCAATAGTTTGAAAAAATTTGGGCATTGGGTATATGATATTCATTATTATAAAAGTTTTTTATATTTTCCAATGAATGAAAAACAAAATTATATTATTTTTACTGACGTTTCGCTATTTAATGCTAATACCTTTAGCAAAGTATTATTACACCAGAATTTACAAAACCGCAGCTTATATACAGCAACTTAATTGTTTGGAATAAAGTGATTATTACTATTATTATTATTATTTCTTCAGCATCAGGTAATTCGTTTTTACGTTGTCAAGCACGTCGATTGATGAAGATAACAAAACCATGTGTAGATTTTTGGATTTGATTAGTCCACCAGCTTCCTCAATATTCGCTGTTCTTTTCATGAATACATTTGTAGACAACATCTCAAACACACACCTAAAATATGGCTAAGATACATTGATGGTACTTTCGCTGTACTAAAACGCCACGTGAAAAGGCCATTCTTGGAGAAATTGAACAATCTGTCTCCCAGCATTCAGTTTACTACGGAAACATAGTCAGACCCCAGTGAACTATTTTTTCTACACTGCCTAGTTGAGAAGAGAGAAAATAGATGTTTCACTATATATATACATATATACTCAAGAGGAAAACGCATTCCAACAAATATTTATAATTTGGATCACCACATCCTAATCAGTGCAAAGGAATCAGTCGTCTAAACTCTTGTCTCAAGACAAAATATTAAAGGAATCACAAGCCACTTGCGTCCATAAAATAAAATACTTGGAATGTGATGTGATATACGTCTGATAAACCTCACGATATATTAGGATCAGAAGAAATGAATACCGCAGACCATCCATTTGACCACCGAGAAATCCAGGTGAACTAAAAAAGCTTGAACAGTCAACAGTCATAGGTCAGTGGCACAGCGGTTAGGACTCTCGTCGACCATTCACATGGTCCGGGATTCGATCCCCTGCCCGCGCACACCCGATATCAATGGTCGACCTGCAAAATTTAGGCTACCGATATCACATGCTGAAAATTCCATACTTGTACCAAAAACACTGGGTTGTTTCAAGCTATAATCAAAAAAGTCTATAAGCTATAGAATCTGGACACAAAATTCATTTTGGCCATATCGAAGTCCTCCAGAAAGAAAAATTTCAGGAATCACAAAGAACGTCTAATATCAGAAGTACTTCATATCATTTATTTATTTTATTTTGACTACAGCTTGATTCCACACCGTACTTTCAGTACAAGTATGGAATTTTCAGCATGGACATCGGTAGCCTAAATTTTGCAGGTCGACCATTGATATCGGGTGTGCGCCGGCAGGGGATCGAACCCCGGACCATGTGAATGGTCGACGAGAGTCCTAACCATTGTGCCACCGACGCACATTTGAATCCAAACTGTTTGAATGGGAATGATGGACTAAAACATAATTTGACCTGGTTGCAACAAGTCTTCTCTCAACACACAATTTCATTATGTAAACACATGCTATTTTTATAATTTCATACACTTATCATATGCAACAATCTACATATGGTTTTGTTATCTTTACCAATCGACCAACTTGACAACATAAAAAAGAATTACCTCATGCTGAAGAAAGATGTTCAAATTGCCGTAAATAAGCTGAGACTTTACAAGTCTTGGTTTAATATTACTTTGAGAGAGCAATTAACACTACCTGGCTAAACATTAGTAAGAGTAACAATATTGTTTTGTTTTTCATTTATTGGGAAATACAAAAACTTTTGTAATGATGAAGTTCTATATTAATTTAAATGTAAATTTTAAAAAAATATAGGCTTACCGATATTGGTTTTCAGTCTAGCACCTCCATTTGTCCATGCTGCCTCTTTGATTCTTTCAATTTCCTGTTGGTACTTACGTTTCTCCCTGATCATTTGCTCTTTCCCTTCTCTTAATGCAGTTTCTAGGTCTTTGATGCGTTCACAGCTGGCTTTTAAACGTTTCTCCAGCTTAAAAGTGATAAGTTAAACTGAAGTATTAACTAATATCTAAGTAGCCAATCGGCTGAGCCGCTATATGATATTTCTCAACACTCAAAAATCATCTAGCACCCTCTAAAAGCTTCTTACAAGTTTTACACTTCAGAGTTATGTAGTCTGACCGTTGTTCTTATTGGTATTACTGAAACTGAATAATTATTTAGAAAGTCCCTCCTGAACGATCTGATTACAGTGTGCATACTTATGTGGGTGCCTCAAATAACTTTGCAACCATTATCAGTTTTTCTCCTAGACTGTATGTCACTGTTCTGACATTCGTATGTCACATGTTGATTTGATTCTTGTCATTTGTCTTACTCCCTGTTTAATCTATAATTTTAGTACTTCTCTTTGTGGTTGTCTGATGACACTGATAATGTGTTGTTTGACGACTGCGATTTTGTTTGAGTGAATGAAGGTGATCCTGACCTTGGACTATCTGCCAGAACTGTTTGGTGTGTGATTCTTGTGGATAGAGTCCTTAACCCCACCTCGATGGGATTCTAAGTTACTTCTGGTAGTTGAATTTTAGTCAACTGAATTTGTTGTACAAGACTTGTTTCGTACTGAGGAAGTTAGTTTGTCTGCGTAGTTGTCTAACTGCATTGTTGTGGTATTATTGAGTTTTTGACGTTATTGTTGTTGAATAGAACCATAGATCTTTCGACGAAAAATTGTCTTTTTTCTGCCTTTGGAGCGTTTTGTCACTGTGTGTGTGTGTGAGACTCAAAGAAGTATTGTCAGCTATACAGTAAGGCGCAGAGATCGGTTCTCTGCGTTCAGACCACAACTTGCTATCAATTTCACCCCATTAAATTAATAAAAAGTTTAAAAGTTTGGTATCATTTCTAAAGGTAGGAACATTTTATAGCACGAAGTTCTGCAAATTTCGACGCCTGAAAACAGTTTGTCGACTAATGATGAGTATTTTATTCACCGATATCGCAGCTACCCTTCAAATTCCAATTAATAAAAGTGTAGTGGTAAATATGCCCCACAAAATGAGTAACCTATAACTGCATTGTCTTCCAACAACAATGGGCGCTAACCAGCACTGTCTAGCTAAACTAGTTAAGCTGAAGGCATACAATCAAGCAGCCGTGCTAATTGACACGCTGTCATGTCACGTTCAGTTGTTCATGTTACATATCTGGTTAGTTAAGCATGCATTCCCGCTTAACATCGATCATGAAGCATATTCCGTATTTCGGACAGTCCAATTTGTCTTCCAATTTGGGTTTACGTCAAATAACCACATATGGGTTGGAGGCCAGTTAACGCGTACTATAGAATCACCGTATTTATTGACAACATAAGGTTTTTAAAACCCTGAATTGAGAAAGTTTAATGTTAGACTCTACACCGTTCTCAATTTTGATCACGAATTGAATTCGGTTAGAGAACCACTGTAAACCAGGGAGTACTGAACAGCTGCTTCATCCTAGTTTGGGACTCTTCAGCGGTACTCACCCATGACCCAACCCGGGAGTAGACTCATGACTTCTAGATTACAAGGATGACTCAGCCAATAGTACAGAATCCAATGTCTCTGAAGGTCCTATGTTCAATTCCACCTGTAGTCATAGTTGCGTACAGTGAAGAGTCCTAAGCAAGGACGAAACAGCTGTCTAGTCCTCTCTGGTTTACAGTGGTTCTCTAATTGAAGTCATTTCGTGGTCAAAGGTGAAATTAACCAAATCCCTGCTAGTGTTTTGTTAATTTAAAGAAACGAAAGTCAGATTTACTACTATTAAATCATCGAATTCAAAATAACAAAATATAAAAGAAAATAAATCCACTTACTTTTGGCAAATCACATCGTAGATCAGCATTATCACGTACAAGTTGTTTGTGTACTTTAGTTAAATTATCTAAACTAGTTTTTAAGAAGTTAATTTTCTCTCTTTGAACTGCACTACCGCAACTCTGAGTTTCTTCCAGTAGTTCATCTTCTGGATTACTGCCAGATTTTGAGTTAAACTAAATATTATTTTTGTAAAAAGATATTTTATAATGAGATAAAAAAATATCTAACAGTAATTCGATGATATTAGATGGTTGGAGGCAATCACAGGAAGCCTTGGACATAGGTTTCGTGCCAGTCGGCACTCGTGAGCAAGGCGTATCTGTTAACTAGAATGGTGGTCACATTGCAAACTTGACTGATAGAATTCAGTCTGCACCAAAGAAAGGACTAGACACATTACACTAGCTACTAGTGTCCAATCAAAGTATCCAGTACAGTCCTACAGGAGGCCAGTCGCTAGCCCGAATAGCTCAGCAGTAATGTCTCTGACTGCAGTTCTAACTGAGTGACACGGATTCAAATCTCAGAAGGGACATGAGTTCTTTCAAGGTTGCAGATATGCCTTTGCTGACTGGTGAGTGCTGACAAGCACGATACCTAGGTCTAAGGCTTCCTACCGATTGCCCTCAACCATCTAATATCATAAAATCAATGTGCAGTGTGATGGCCAGCTACCTAGCATGGTGGCTACATTGCAAACTTGACTGATAGAATTCAGTCTGCAGTAACCAAAGGACTAGATACATCACACTAGTTACTAATGTCCAGTCAGAATATCTAACAGCAAATTTGTTGCTCAGCACATCAACGATGTTAAAAATAATCATTGAATGATGTCAAACACCTGGGATCGTCTATGTGCTAGGCTGATGAGTAATAGTTGTGTGCTTCTCCATTAGATATATTATAAATCACAATGATTTCCCACATCTCACTCAATTCAAACGCACGTTTATTTGACGCCATACAAGATTAAAATGTGTCATTTGAAAATTCAACTTCTTGAGGAGGTTATTTACTATGATTTCCTTAGAGAGCCCAAAAAAGTTTTCAGATCTAAAAATGCAACCCTCTTGGTTCTTTGAATAAAAAGTACGACAGGGAAGTCAGGAGAATGGTGCATACTGCTGACTTAGATATTAGTGGGATCCACCCACCAGCATCAAGCCATAGTGCTTACTAGTCAGGGTCAGGTGCTCTAAACACTGGACCATAATTTTGCATTATTATGGTCAAGATGGTCAACAATGTCCCACCTAGCTATGTTACTCACTATTTCCAATGTAGAATAAACAAGTGGTGCTGATCCAAAATACTGTTTTTCATGAATATACTTTCCTTCCTTTAAACAAGAACGTATAAAAATAGAAGATAACCAACAAAATTGAGCAGATTGTGAAGTTGTATATGTATGCGTCGGTGGCTCAGCGGTAAAATGCTCGCATACCAGGCATGCATTCACGGGTTTGATCCCCGGCAAACACACTCCTTCACCTCGATAAGCCAATGCTAAGACTGGTTAAGAAGGAAAGTTGGACATGAGGCCAGCAACCTCATCCCGTAAAAATAAAAATATACCACTGCTACCGAAACTTCAAGCCTCTAGCCTGAAGCCGCATGTTCCACTGGGAGCGCAAAGAAATAAAAACATATGTGAGAAAATTTTCCAGACAGGTAGATGTAAAAGTGAAAGAGCATAAACAATGCATAGAGATAGTTCCAAACACCTCTGCAGATTTGAAGAAGCTAGAAAGCAAATCAGCAATTGTACTGCAATCGACAGAAATGGGATACAAGACCGACTATGATAGGATCAAGGTTCAACAGAAATATTTTGGTGCATACAATGAAAGACTGTCTGCAGAAATCTTACACATATATGTGGATCCCTAAAGGTTGAGCAGGTGTGATGTTAACTGATGTTTAGCAAGTCCTGATTAATTAATAAAATGGACATGTATCACTAATTTATCATGTTTAATCTATTTTCCCGATTATATCTTCCTATAGAAAGGTTAATAAACGATATACGCTTGTTCTCCCATCCATAAACACATCATTGTATATAGCATGCTTATATTTTCACATATTCGATCATCCATGAGCATGAACTCTAGTCGAACATGGTAACTAAAGTTTAATGCAAAAGTACACACCATTTACAGTGTATAACAAAACAGACTAACAAGTCATTTTAGCAGTTTTTTCTCTCATAGTGAAACTAGGGGATCACCCCTCTAGCCTTTGACTTGAAGCCTAATCTACAAGGCAGTGTAGAAACGTCAGGAGCTAAGCTTCCATGGTTTCCAGTGTCTAGAACAGCTTCATACACCATTCAATCTTCTCGGAATCTGTATTCCATGTACACCATAGATTTGGAATCACGATTTTTCAGTTCCCTTAATTAGATGTGCATTTCCACCAGTCCGGTTGTAAGCGCCAGATGTCTAAATTCGTTCTTTCACTTTTGTGAGGAACATTCTAAATAAAACTGTGTTTAGACAGAATGAAGTGTTTTATAATACACCAGATTTTGTGATTGTTGTTGATGTAAATGACTTCTAGTAGTTATCATAATTTGTATTTACTGATATTGAAAAAAACAGAAAGCATTTGTACCTACTTTACTAATTCTAGTCTTCAAATCAGCTACGAACACTTTTCTCAATGAGTTTAAGATTTGTAATTCATGCAGTACAGTATCTTCCATTGATTTAATTTCATTGTATGCTTGATCTTTTTCCACAGTTAGCGGATCTTTAGTTATCACTTCTTGATCAGCTTTTTTGCCACGCAAGTACTCAACTTCTTTCATCAAACGTTCAATTTGATGCTTGAATATTATATTCTCTCTAAATGGAAATGATTCTAGAATTATATGCGGTGGAATAATAATAATACTTAAGAAATTATTTATGTCAATCTTACTGCAGGTTGACACTGAAAACATTATTTTTATTTATTTGGGTCATAGTTAGGGTTAACACTTTCTGTTGTGTTCTTCATTAGAATAACGGAGTGAGACTTTTTTCTAGATTAAATGAATGAATTTATTCAATTTCAAATGGTTTGAATTCGAATAAACACACTCTTAAATGAGTTTCACCATTTATATTTTTATTTCTTTAACTATTGTTAGGTGCAAAAGCTATTCTCATTGTGATACTATACACCATTGATTGCCTGATTGACTGAGTGAGTAGTTGGAAGTCACTCATATCAACTACTAGTGCTTGTTGACCAGGTTGATCTAAACAACACTGAACGGCAGTTTCACTCCTTTAAGGTCGATCTCATCAGTGGTGTACAGGGTTTGACGTAGCTGAGACAGCCAAGTCAGTTCAAACTACCTGAATGCTCTTGAGCTACTCCAGTGAACTGGTATTTTACATGGAAACGGAAGCATCATTTTCAAATTACGCAGTTCGAGATAAAAGAAAAGTTCAGTCCAAAATAGATAAAATATCTAAAATATCTAGATCACAGTATGTGATCTTGTGATTTTTTACCCAGAATTATATAATTCTATATATTAATATTCCCTTGGTTTCCGAGTGGAACATAGTAATTCAACAGAACATTTCAATTTTGTCCTATCCTCTGAAGTCCTCTTCACCTAGCCCCATGAACACCCATAAACTTTCACTTACTGTTCACACGATCTCCCTTAAATAACCCTCGAACGGCCAATTCGTCATTTCCTATTCGAGTTCCAATCGACGGCAAGGTGCGTGATGCCATTCAACGGTCCCATCAGCCTGCTTCTTATCCATCTCGATTTTCCTCGGAATACTTGTTGATCAGTAGGTTATTGATTGATTTGTTCCCAGAGTTTGTTGGTACTAGTCCTTTCTGGCCTATCATCTGATCTTCAGTGTGGAACCAGTGAAGGTGGCTGTTGGTAAAAGTCTGAAATCTGTTAAAAATGTTTTCGGTTACATGTCAAGTGTTTGAATCATAAAGAAGAACTAAATAACTTATCAGTGGTGTTCAAAATCTGAATTTCCTTGTTTGTGCTGAATGCAGAAGATCTGATCACTGATTTAAAAGTGATGAAGGTTTTTTCTTGCCGTTCAGACTTGGGTTTTGACATTCTCATCCGTGCCACCACCTGTAGTTGAAACGATGCTGCCCGGTCAGATAAGTGGAGAAAGTGACGTTTTTCAAATTTCTCCCACTGATAGTGACTGGTGCTTGTTAGTGTTGGTTGTTTGGTTGGTTATCTTCATCACATCCGTCTTCTCTATTCTTACTTGAAGTTCTGTGCTTCCTACTTCTTCTCCCAGTTTGCTGGTTTTCGCCTGCAAGTTTACGAGTCTGTTTGACAGTAAGCACAAATCGTTGGCGAAGTTAATATCTTCTGGAGTCAGTCTTATCGGTTCATTATATTCCTGTCTTCTCGCACCTCACAGTTTCCCGCATAATTCAGTTCACGAATTTGTCCTCAATGTATTCGGGACTTCATCATCCAGTAAGCCATACTGTTTCATTGTATGATATGTCTAATAAACAAATTAATATAAGAGGAACGGTATTTGTAATTATGACATTTAATATTCTATCTACTAAGTAATGCTGTATATCCATTTACTTCTTAGATGACTTCACATCGAATTACGAGTCTTCAGGCATATGTATCACCAATATTAAACGACTACCTCAGTGCGTCGGTGGCATAGCGGTTGGTACGCTTGCCGACCACACACATGGTCCGAGGTTCGATCCCCGGCCGGCGCACTCCTTTACCTCGCTAAGCCAGAACTGAAGCTGGTGAAGAGGAAAGGTTGGGCATGAGGCTAGCAACCTCATCCTGTAAAAATAAACACTGCTACAGAAGCTTCTAGCTTGAAGCCCTATGTTCCACTGGGAACGTGAAGGAATAAAACAAAAACCTCAGTCGAAACACGTAATGATGCCTTCATTATTTTCTCATATCTTATATGGTTTAACATTATTTAAAATTATCAGTGACATTTGCATAACTCAGAAATTCAAAAACATAGTAACTAAAAAGGAGGTTTTCTCTTACTCTTTAATTTGTTCACATTCATGAACAGCTTTTTCACAATCTCCCCATGCTCGTGTCAACTGTTGTTGATAATGCTGACCACTGCGTTCAATCATAGACTGTACACGTGAATAGATTTGTTCATGATTATTCTCTGCAAGTTTAATTTCACTTATCAAATTATCATTCATTCTTAGCTTGAATAATTCTTTACTGGCTTCTTGTAAATCACCTTCTAACTTTGCGTTGTCTTCTTCACGTTTACGAATATTTTTGTCATATTCAGCAATAATATCATGAAGCTGAATAAAAAAAAACATTGATTATTTTCGTTGTGATTTTTTCCCGTATATTGAGACGAAAACAAGGTTTCAATCAAAACTCATGCATGCATAATAGCGTCGGCGGCATAGCGGTTAGGACGCTTGCCGACCATGCACATGGTCCGGGCTTCGATCCCCGACCAACGCACTCCTTTACCTCGCTAAGCCAGAAATAATGTTGGTAAATAGGAAAGGTTAGGCATGAGGCTAGCAACCTCATCCTGTAAAAATTAAACACTGCTACAGAAACTTCAAGCCACTAACTTGAGGCCCTATATTCCACTGGGAACGTGAAGGAAAAAAACATATGTGTAATATTCTACTAAACACTAAACATGAAATGAGAATCATTATTACCAAAATATAAAAATCTAAATTTGTGCAGGTAAGCTAACAGCAGAGATCAAGAAGATAGAACTTAACAGGGTAAGGAAGAACAGAAATAATAAAGCTGTTAAAAACAGTAGCTGTCCATGAAGTACACAAATGACTGTGTAAGACAAGTTACTAGGCTATTAAAAATACAATGGAATAAATACGTACAAGTTTTAGTTCACTAATGCCATTAAGTTACTGAAACGTGGTCGGAAACGTAGTAAGATCAATCAGAATTCCTCTGGAAGCACTAAAATCGGATTCAGAGACCTTAGCCGATGTGCTGACACCACTATTATAGGAAGTTTGTAAGGAAAAAAAGGTACTTACTGAATGGAAAAAGGCTTTCCTGTCAAACTTCCAAAGAAGGGTGACCTAAGTTTCTGCAAAAACTGGTATAAAATCATGTTTCTGTTCACTCCAAGAAAAATATTAAGTCACGTCATCCTAGAGAGAATAAAAGATGTACTGGAAGCAAAACTCCTCTCAGGTGAATCTGGATTCAGGGAAGGCAAGTCATGTTGCATCGAATCTCAAAGCGACGTAACATCATCGAACAGAGCATAGAATGAAGCTCAAATCTCTACCTTAACTTAAATCGACTTTGGAACATCCATCGATAGTGTCGACCATGAAGTAATTTCGAAACTGCTTCAACACTATAGAGTGTCTTAAGCCTTTACCAACCTCATCCAACAGTTATACGACGGTGGGTTTTGCAGTATAATATGGTACCACCACTTATTTCTTCGGCTTTTCATCATCTGCTTGCAGCCTAAATAAATTATTAAGTTTATATGCAGAAAAGTTTTAACAAATTGTGGAACATCCTGTCAACTGACTTCATGTAAAATTTGCAAGCCTGTTGTAACTTTTCTGTACATAAACTTAGTGATTTATTTAGGCTGTAAGCAGATGATGAGAAGCCAACGAAATAAACAATGATGGTAACATATTATTCTGCACAAACCTCTGTTGTTCTTGCTTTATTGAAGTTCATCAGGGGGAATAAATGCATGAAGTTATACGACGCTGTTGCATGCTCAGTGGTTGATAAAGGAAAACTCATTGAAACCTTCGAGGGTAAGACATGGGTAGAAAAACGCTGTCCACTGCCATCGACGGTCTCCACAGTGGACTGGATTATAAAACAGACAGCTGAGAGGGAGAAGGCAAGACTACATCGGACAGATGAGAAAACGCTGAAGATCTGCACCTTATGGATGGTATATGCCCGATATCGCACAAACTCGAAGACCTTCTGGAGGAAACCAGCGAGTTGGCAGAAAAAGGGCTGGAATAAGACTTCAAGTGAACATAAAGAAGACAAAGGTGATGAAGGCACACACTAACGAGAATAAAGGAAAATCAGTGTTAATGGAAGAAATCCAAAGAAAGTTACCTCCTTCACTTATCTGGGCAGCATCGTTTCAACTACAGACATCATAGAAGATGATGCCAAAGCCAGTCAGTATCGAAAAAGTAAAACAAATCTTCATCAGTCTGAAATCATTGTGAAAATCTTCTGCACTCATCATAAAGAACAAGATTAACATTCTCAGCACTAATGTCAAGTTAGCCATTGCTTAGTTATGGTTCAGTGACTTGGCGTGTCACGAAAGGGTTTTTCAATACACTTTAAACTTTAATGAACAGCCGTCTTCTCTGGTTCCATACTGAAGATTCCATGGAGAGCCAGAAAGAATTAGGAACATGGAACTCTGGTGACAAACCAACCAAAAACATATTACCCAAATGATATGCCGAAGGAGATGGAGATGGATCGAACACGACCTGGGTTGAGGAGACTTTTGGATGAAATTGCGGGCCAGGCCATCACTCCAGTGGAGCCCTAATGGGAAACGTCGATTTAGGTTTTCGTGGATGATATAGAGGTGACAATGTGGGGAGGAGATGACATCTCATAGGCAATCTTGAGAGGATTGCAGATAACAGGATGAAATGGATGTGTTCTGTTGATGTCCCACTCGGCACTCAAGGGATTAATTATAATAATCTTTTGTTTGAATGACCCATCAACATGTCTTTTGTCCTCACTCAAGCGATCCGATAGACATAGACGCAATAAAATGTATTTTGAAACAGTATGTGCTGAAGGGTTCGCACCAATATCTGCAGTCATGAGACATATGACTCATTACTTTAATTTCATTTTTTCACTTTACCATAAATACCGAATGTAAAATATTTCATTTGATCATCTCTCTGTAGCCCACGATACTAATTTGTATTGAATTATCAGTGCGAATTCCTATCTCGGCATTTGTTTCATTTCAATGATGACGGCTAATACTCGTGTTTTGGAAATTAATTACTGTATACTAAACGAAAGTGCTCATTTTCAAGAGTTTGGTTTGTAAGGATTAGATTTGTTTATACGAGTTTCACCACGGACTGATATCAGTTAGGGAACCATTGAAAACCAGCACTGGAGTACTGGACAGCCAGCTGTTTCATCCTAGTTTGGGAATTAACGGTAGTACGCACTCACTAGGGTTCGGACCCAGGACCTTCCGGTTATAGGGCAAGCTCGTATTTCATTTTTAAAGCAATTTTTCCCACAAGAGTCTGTTTGGCTTCCAGATACTGCTTAATACAGTCTATCATTAAAAGTAGAACACACGAAAATCATTAAGGTTACTAACAATATATATATATCATTTGTTTGTGAAGCACCTAAAACTGTCGGAATTAAACGCTTCATATAGGGTCCGCCAATGAAACAAGTGTGTAACAAAGTAGCAGATAGGCAAGCAGACAGACAGTACAGCAATCCAAATGGTTCAGCTGTTTTAAAGGTCACTAATTTTAAACACTAATGAGATGAACTTAGTTGCCAGCATGACATCTAGAGGTAACTATATGGTCATGATTTATATCTGTACAGATACCATACTAATATGAAGCTCAGAAGCTTCTAGAAGAAGCATCCATTTCACCATAGATTATTGTAATGTAATGCCTCGAACTAGTGGATAAGAACAGTCATGGTATTTGATGTTTCTTTGTTTTAAGCGAACTCAAAAATTTAACTTTACTAGCCGATTGAGAAATCCGGGATGTACTTTATCTTCTTTAAAAGCCATCAGTTAACCATATTTCTCTTCCAGTGCTGCTATTCTTCATAGAATAGAAGTTAATAAACGTTTTTACTTAGTCACTGAGCCATCATAGTCACTTTTTGTAAAACTGTTCCAAATCTCATATTATAGATGTAATTTACACCATTAAAAAGGTAATAGAAAGGGGGAAGACAGTGAAAATAAAATAACCAAAGGTGCTACAGTATTTCAAGACAAATAAGAAAATAAATATTATAGATAAACAAATTTAATACTGCAACTGTTATGAAAACTGTAGAACTGAATTACAAATTATTTAAATTAATCCCAGCGTGTTAAGAAAATCAAAACAAGATTTTTCTGAACGCTTCGCTGTGTTAGCCACAGCTTCTTCAGCAGATTTATTCGGATTTTTATTAGTCGTCAAAATATATAGTCAAAATTTTTTACATAAATTGATGTCTGTTTATTTGAAGGTCGTTTGTCCATAAACAGACTTCAATTTATGTAAACTTTTTGACTATATATTTTGATGATTAATAAAAATCCGAATAAATCTGCTGAAGAAGCTGTGGCTTACATAGCGAAGTGTTCAGAAAAATCTTGTTTTTATTTTCTTAACACGCTGGGATTAATTTAAATAATTTATAATGAATCAATCTGACTCGGCTCTCAAATTATTCCAGGAAGTTCGTAACACCTACGGCCTGGAAACCTGTAGAACTGAATGTTTATCATTGTAATCGATTCAAAGCCGGATCTTCTAGAGTTTCTAACCGTAAGTTTTATAGGTTACGTTCCCCTACAAGACTTATATCGTTAGTCGACGGCTTCATGGAATAATAGCACTTCTCAAATTGAGAACATTTTTACTCTCTCCCATAATACAGCACATCGTGGTATAGCATGAAGTATTATTGCAAACTAGTCTTGCGGGATAAACGTGTTCAGAAAACAAGGCTATGTATTACAAGTTAATTGGAAAATATCTGTAGAGGAGGACGTCCAAGTCTATGATCTCAGGTAAGTAGGTAGGTACTTCAGTGAAGGAACATTTTAGAAAGCTGCAGCGAAATGAAGATTTAGAAATAAGATGTAACCTTCTATCGTTTTGTTTGGATTAAATCAAACTTCCTTTCTGACTCATTAAGGTACTTATGCAGGTGTCCAGTATTATGCCATTGTGGATATTAATGACCATTAGCTTTTCATGCAATCAAATTAGCTACTATTCAGATTCTGTTTTTAGTATGGAGAATTAGTATTCGGTTTTCCAGTGAGCAGATATCTGTTAATATAATAATAGTTAAGTAAAAGATTGAACTATCTTTCCACCATGCTCCCGTAGATATAAGATTTTCAAAATGACTTTACTAAATGATCAGCCGTAGTGTTATAAGAATTCGTTCTGGGAATGGATCTCACCAACAATCTATTCATCCAAATTTGAAATTAATAATAAATGCAGTGGTTGGATCTTCCAGCTCATATGACCGTCAAATACACAACATATACATACTTTTGACTTACTTCTCTGATTTTTCTGTCAGTATCGTGCTGTATCTCTGTCAGTTCCTCTTGAGTATGTTCTTTCTTGTGTGATTTGCTTGAATTTATATCTTTAAATGATAATTCAGCTTCACATTTCATTTGAAGAACATACAGTTTAAGTGCAGCTGCTTGTTCTTCTAGACTCTGAAATACCTTTGGTTTTGTGTACTGAAAAGTTGGATACGAAAAAGGGAAATTATTTTCAGTCATAAAGCCTTCTGTTAAATGAAGCTTTTAGGTGAAATGTGGGTCTTCATTTAAGGAGGACGGATAGTGTTCACTTCCTTCTTAGCGAATTACAGTTAATATTACTAAGAATGAAGATTTCCCAATATTGACAACGGCTGGTTTACAAATGTAAGGGATATATTTTCAAACACAGTAAGTGTTGCATTGTGCTTTTAGCTTTTCTAAAACTTATATTTTTTAAATCTTATTAAAAGAAAAGACGTTCAGCGAAGAGTTACTCCTCTTAGTGATGTCATCCTCAAGCTGTACAGTCGCATTGTATATATAGTAAAATATCTTAGCAACAACAGGAACATTTGCAAAGGTGCGTCACTGGAATTGTAAATTTTAGATAACAAATTACGTAATATGAAAGTGTTAATCGGGTAGAATTATTATTATGATTGTTCCCTTCAGTTCCGAGTGGAACATAGGGCTTCAAAAACACATCTCCACTTTGTTCTACTTTTTGCTATCCTCTTCAACTGGGTCGACGATTGCCCAAACTCTCTCATCTCATCCTCGCCACTCGACCTCCTCCATGTCACCCTGGGACGACCCACTTGTCGCTTCCCATTTGGATTCTACTCAAGCTATGGCTTTTATTGCGCGCGATGTCATTCGATAGTTTCCTCAATGTATACCCAATCTATCTCCATTTTCTCCTAGATATTTTTTGAGCAGTCGGCTCTTGGTCGGTTTGTTAGTTTCTTGTTACTAATTCGTTCTGGACTGCCATTTGACCTTCAGTATGGAGACAGAGAAGGCAGCTGTTGATGAAAGTCTGCATCCTGCTGGCAGTCCTTCTCGTTACACGTTGACCAAGTTCCTGACCCGTATAGAAGAACCGTCTTGACATTGGTGTTGAAAATCCAAATCTTGTTCTTTATGCTGATTGAGTGCAGAAGATTTCCGAACTGGTTTCAGGTTGATCAAGGCGTATCTTGACCTTCCGATCCTTGTTAACTTTAATATCTTCTTCCGTTTCGCCTGTAGTTGAAACGACGCTTCCTAAATAACTGAAGGAGGTAACCTCTGTCAAATCTTTTTCGTTGGGTAGAGATCAGTAATCGGGTAGGGACTAAAATAAAATTAAATCAGAAAGCTGAGTGAATTATTATAGTCGATGGGATTGAGTAAAATTCATCTAAAATGTGACGAGAGTCAAGTTATCAACACTAGTAATAAGGGGTAGAAATTTATAGGAGGTGAGGGAAAAACATAATACAACTAAAATACAAAAAGAAATTATTCGTCCATTGTTAAACCACATCAGGTCTATTGTAGGTTTAACAGCTGAACAAACTTCTGTATGCTGAGTTTGGGACTTAACATGTGAACTGCTACCATTTATGCAGTTTGAATAACTTTGATTCGTACTCCTTTGGCAAGATTTCTGCGTATTCTGTAAATGAACTACAAGTCAGCTTGAGGATTCACTTGGTGTCCAGATTCGGACAGATATTCCAGAATAGAGCTGCGGAGGGAGGAGGTAAGTATTCAATGATACATTTGGATAGAAAACTCTGAGCCCTACATGAACAGGTGAATTGACAGAGACACATTGATTAGGCCGACAGTGGTAGCTTATCCTTCCAGTTCACGTGAATCGTTGGTTTTGTGGAGAAAGTCTGTCGAAGTTCATCCACGAAGAAGGTTTTTTTTCAATGAACCAGACAGTCAGTTTCTTAGTATTTCTGCCGATGAATCTCCATTGAATAATAGATTCAGACAGAGAAGTCTTTCGATATGATAAGTCAATATCGTCTTAAGCAGTTTTAAAGTAGCTTTCTACTGCAAATTATCATAGTTTCGAGGTTTCTATCTTACTATTTACTAAATTTCTCGACGTTTTATTTCACAATGAAAACTACACATTGATTAAACACATTATAAATTAAACTAGTTTTTATTTGAGGAGTTTCATTCACATTTGTATACTGTTTAAATTTATTCATAAATTAATTATACTTACTCTTAAGTTTTTACTTATATACGATCCTACTTCACCAAGTTCCGAAGAGATTACTTGCAGTAAATCTTGAAGTTTTTCACGCACTTTCCTTGATGCTTCTTTTGTCATCATTATTTCAGACTCGTGAGATTCAGCCTGTAATTTAAGTCGATCTAACTCTCCGTTCAACATTTCAATCTCTTTATTACACCGCTTTGTTTCATTATTTTTTGCATCGTATGTAATAGCCAATTCTTCAAGTGCATGCAGTACATCTTTTACTTCTGAACGACTTTCTTCAGTTGTCCTCTGCAATATAGAAATTCCATAACAAAGAAAAATATATTGTCTTCATCATTTAAAAAAAATAACCTAGTTAAACTGAGATTTTCAAAAGCTAAATGCCATTTCCAACCAGCTTTCTGAAGGGAACGGTTGCAAAAAATTGATTTAGGCAGTGAATGATTTATTATGTGCATTATAATACGTCGAAATACTTGCTATTGCCTTCTCAATTTTCAGTTAAACCTTGACAAGCAGTAAACTGTGTCAGGTTTATAAGCTTTAACATTCCCCTAAAGATTATACTGTAGCTAAAGAGTTAAATTTACCTCGTTGTGCGACATAACGTGGAATCTGATATATCCGACTAATTGACCTGTTGGTTTTTATACCTAGGTATAGAACAATTTTGAGATATGGTGATTTCCCTTTAAGACGACGATTAGGATTTGAATAATAAAGGGTCTCGTAGAATATCACCAGTCAATAAATATTGGCATCTCAACGGAAATCTTAAAAGAATTGTTATTAAAGTGTACCATGAATGTAAATTCCAAATTTGATGGCACACTTTACAGACAAGTGGATAGGGTGGTGATGGGCTCCCTATTGGGTCCCATTTTGGCGGGTTGCTTTCTAAGTAAACTAGAAAATGGACCTTTGAGCAACCTTATCAGAAAATTCTCATTTTATTGCCGGTTTATGGATCACACCTTTATTCTTTGTGATAATGATTCGGATAGAAATACGATAATAACTGAATTCAATGAAGTACATTCGGCTAGGAAATTCACATGCGAAGCGGAATCCCAAAACATAATTGCCTTCCTGGATGTCCTTCTTACAAGAAAACCAGATGGTAGCATAAAGAGAAATCTGCATAGGAAAAGCACGTGAACAGGACAATATACATATCTTCACAGCTTCGTTCCTCTCAAGTACATAAGAAATTTAGTAAAGACTCTCAGCCACAGGGCTAGATCTATATGCTCAGAAGAAGTAACTGAAGATGAATTAAGCATTGTATATGATCCCTTGATTGAAAATAGCTATCCCGACAAATTTACCAAAAACACAAGACAAAGAAAGCAGAAAAGGACTACTCACTATCTGTAAACAAGAAGCCTCTTTATATACGACTACAATTCAAGGGCGACAGAGCAAGCGAAATAATTACGAAGAAATTAAGAAAATCAGTTCAAAGAACTTTTAATGCTGGCAAACTAAACGTCATATTTTCTACACGACCGATGCTGATTCCTCGACTGAAAGATGAAGTACCTAGACTAACCACTTCTAATTCTATCTACCAATTCAACTGGCTAAGTAGAGGCGTAGTAAAATCCATCAACTGTTTGATATTAGACCACCAAGTCCAAACCGGCCGGCCACAAAGCCAGCATTGAAGAATCCTTCTCCATCATCTACTGGGTACCAAATAAATTGCCAAAAACATTGTGGTACCACATACTCCAAACAGCAGAGGCTATCGCAATTCGCGCGAAACAACCAGTGCTTTGTACTCAAAAGAAACAAGTCCAGCTAGCCACTACTACTGCCTTGGCGGGCCTTCAGTAGAGACAATAAATTCATGGATTTGTATTATTATCTTTCCTAATTTCTCTGATATTCATTCAGTTTACTGCTATGTTGATGCTGTTAAACTGTAAACTGTTGATATTATTGGTTTAATGTCATTTTAACAACATTAATGTTGTTAATAACACCAATTCATTCATTCACTATTATGTATATATAACTGTAGAACCTGATGACGAAGTTATCAAAAAGATTATTCTTTCTTCAGTATCGGTTCTTTTGAAAATATCACCTGAGTTAAACAGAACTGCAATATCTTAAGGTAGAGGGATCTTTTACATAGATCATTATTAAGAAATACTAGATTTAAAATGACACAACTATAGTAATAGGCGGCTGGTTATGCAGTGGATACACTTTTGTGTAAAGTAACAGATCTGTTATAGGGGAACTAAATAGATGGCTTTTGTGTGGCAAAAGTGTCAAGTTTAGTGCAAAAAAGTTTAGTATGAAATGAATGAAGATGATGTTTAATTATAACAGAATCACTGAATATGGGAAAGAAAACCAGATAAATTAGTTCATCGTAGTAAAAAATGGTTGGTCAGTGGTTAGTATGAAAACAGTATGCATTAAATAGGAGATAACAGGACCATGGCGAACAGTTCATCATGATATAATCAATATGTGAAATGAAAAAAGTGGAGCCATATACTGAGAAAGGGAACGGTACCACTAATGTTAATAATAATAACATTTCAGAATAGATTGTTAGTGTTAATATGTTTGGTAAATTCGATAGTGTTTGAAGAATGCTGGAACGAAGTGTGTGAATCATAAAATATTTTGATTAAAACTGTTCGCACAAATATATTGCAAAAAAGTGGGATTCAAACCCCTAAAGAGGAAGGGAAATTTTTGGACCCAAGGTTAGTCATGGTAGAAACAATATCTGAAAATGTTCATCCGGGAGACAGAGTTCTAACCAATTCCATTTCATTGTTCACCTTCAGTAGACGTTGGCAATAATGTCTTCGGGATGCTGCATATTGTCCAAAAGGCTTTGTTAGCACCATCACTTTAATTCATTTCATATATTGATTATTTCATGACAGACTATTCACCAAAAGGGTTGTCCCGCGATTCAATTATACAATTCATTGAGAATTCAAAAACGTCCACTTCATTTTGAGGCCTAAGCTGAAGATGTCATCCAGAAGGATAATGAAAGTTTATCAATAAAATCATCCATCTCAGAGGAGGCAACCACATCAATATCATTAATGTGGGCTACAAATCCTTACTATTACTTCTTAATTTATTTAAATTTTGATTAATGCTTATAATTTCAGGCTCCATAAGTTTTCTGTTTAAAAAATTAACATAATTTATAAAACTACTTATGATATACTAATTGAATCGATCCTAACTGACTTTAGCAATGTACGGATTGACTTGTTGACCTACAATATGCCGAAGATATTATCTTCCTAGGTAAAAAAGCTGACAAAATTCAATCTTCTAAACACCTTGAGCAGAAATCATCGAATATTTGGAATGCGAATTGTTCTCGTCCAAAATAAAATGGTGCCACAGGACTGAACTATATCGATTCCTAGTTAAAAAATTGAGGGTCAAGTGGTTAACGTCTTCACTTACCTAGGAAGCTGAAAAAGTTAGCTGCGTCCTTCTTCGCAGCTGTGCAAAATGCCCATTGAAATTTGAAGATATGAAAAAGCTAGCTGCCACTGACTACAGATGTTTGCAATCTATCTCCCATGCCAAGTTGAATAATATGGTGAGTAACATTGATGTTAGGCACAGAGGAGGGTTAGTCAATCGATGGAGCTGTGAAGATTAATTGATTGAGATGGTTAAGACACGTGTTGAGCATACCCATCCGTCGCTTTCTACTACGGGCGATGTTAGCCGACATATAATTAAGTTGGGAAAGAGTTAGGAGTCATCAAAACAAAACCTGGTATCAGTTCATGAAGTTTGTGACAGCTGGTTTGAGCTACGTAGTCTAGGTGGAGACTGCCTGGTTGGGGCCCTCGGGATATTAAGAACAAATAACTGGAGGCCATTATAAAATATGGCTCAAGATCGTTCTCATTGGCGTAGATGCATTCACTCTTTTTGATCCCCATACCCTCTAAACCGTCGTGTTTTTTCATGTTACTATTCTTTCTCCCTCGTATTTCCGCCAATTGTCTCCCTTTTGAATCTCTTCTCTTTGTTTTGCCTTACTTTGTGTGCTACATGGAGTGTGGTAAGGTGAACTTTCGCACCTATGTGCTAAATTCGATGTTCGAACTCAGTCAGTCATACGTAGTAAAATAATCGAAGGAACAATAAAAGCTTATCTACTGTTAATATTATCTAGTGTTCAGTGTAAAAACATATATATTATTATATTATTATTGTTTCCTTTAGTTCCTAAAGGAACACAGGGCTTCAGCTGCACGTCTCCATTGCGTTTGATTCTCCACCAGCGTTTTCACCTAGCTCCACGTCTTTTCAAATGGTTGCATCTCCTCTTCACATCACCTTCTCCTCCACGTCACCCTCGCATTGACGACTAACTTGTCGCTTCCCATTCGGCTTCCACTCGAGTGATGGCCTAGCATGTAATATCACTTGATGATTTGTTTTCTCAGAGTATGACCAGCCCACCTCCATTTATTCCTGCATATTTACTGCACAATCGGTTCCTGGTTGGTTTGCCCTCAGAGATCCCTGTTGGTGATCTTTTCTGGCTATTTGATCTTGAGTATTGAGAGAAGACAGCTATTGATGAAGGTCTGTAGTTTGTTCGAAGTGCTCTTCATGACGCGCCAAGTCTCTTATCCATAAAGTAGCACTGACTTCACATTGGAGTTGAAAATTCGGATCTTATGCTTTTGACCTCCACACAGACTTGAGAGAAATGAAAGCTCGCCTTGCTTTCACGATCCTCGCTTTCATATCCTCATCAGTTCCGTCTGCCCGTAGTTGAAACGATGCTTTCCAGGTAGGAAGGTAGGTTTGTAGAGGAGGATGCTTCTTTCAGATTTCTCCCATTTATGCTGGCTGATTGTTGTCTGTTATTGTTTCTGTTGCTGTTGGCCAGGAGAATTCATCACTTCTGTTTTCTCTGTGTTCACCTAAAGTCCTATCTTTTATCCTTCCTCCGCCAACTTGTTGCTTTTCACTTGCATATCTTCCAGGTTAAAAAATATATATATATGAGTGAGAAGCTACGAAGTGTCGATGCCATGTCAAGAGAAAATGGCATAATTATAAATGAAAAGACACGAAGTAGATAAATAGCACATCATCGGGAAAAGTTAGTCTCCAGAATCTTTGTCGGGTAATAGTCTTCACAGTCTTAACGAATTTGTCTAACTGGAGGTTCTCAGAAAAATACCAAGACCAACTAACTCAGTGCCTTAATACTTCCAGGCAGAATGTATGAATAGTAAGTTAACTAACACACCACTGTTTGTTGTCATCAGCTTCCTAGTGAACCGTCAACTTCTTGTTTTCGCACGGTATCGAATACACATAGATTCAGTGACTTGCATTAGCATTTTATTAGCCGAATCTGTCAACCATCTAAATGTGAATATGGATCAATGAATTATCTGAGCAATTCAAGATAAAAAGAAACATTTGTGAGTCGGTGGCTCAGCTGTAGAATAATCATCTACCGTCCAGGTGATCCGGCGTCAGGTCCCCGGCCGACAAACTCCTAAAACCTCGCTTAGCCTGTGTTAAGCCCGATATAGTGGGAGTTGGGTGTGAGGCCAACAATCCTACACTGTAAAAATAAAACCACTGCTAATGAAACTTCAAAGCTCTCACTTGAAGTCCACTGTTCAACTAGGAAAACATAGGAATAAAATTAAACATTTGTGCCTCAATCAAAAGATGAATGAAATTCACTTCTTGATGATAGTGAGCTTATCAAGTTTTTGATTTACCTGCTAATCTATGATGGAATAAACTACCCAGTTATTCTCCAAAGACATATTTATTGTGCCAAATGTAGATTGCACGTATGTTTTTTGCTTGGTAATACAAAAAATGCCGCTAAACATGAGAACACCCATAATACAACTAACTCATTGAAATTTTGTACACCTATCATAAACAATAATGAAACTCCTTACTTCTGATTTGAAGTATTAGTAGTAGTTCCGGTGCTCATAGTCTTTCTACATCAGCATGAATTAACAAGAAAGATGAATACTTCTGCTAGATTCATCTGGAAATCACTTATAGTGAAATGGAAACACTGAAGAGGTGCAGAACTATCAGAAAAAGATGTCTGCTTGCGTCAGTGAGAAATATGTGAACACCAATGAACAAGTTTTGCTGTTGTTATTAGATTCAATTTCAATTTTCAATTTTGATTACAGCTTGATTCCACACCATATTTTCAGTACAAGTATGGAATTTTCAGCATGGATATCGGTAGCCCAAATATACAGGCCGACCATAGATATCGGGTGTGCGCCGGCAGGGGATCGAACCCCGGATCATGTGCATGGTCGGCGAGGGTCCTAACCACTGTGCCACCGACGCACCAATAGACAGGAAGCCTTGAACCTAGGTTTTGTGCTTGTTGACACCCGTCAGCAAGGAGGAAGGAACCTTCGTCCCTTTTGAGATTCGAACCCATGTCACCCAGTTAGAACTTCAGTCAGAGACGTTATCACTGAGCTATCCGGGCTAGCTTGACTGATAGAATTCAGTCTGCAGTAAACAAAGGACTAAACACATGACACTAGTTTATGTCCGATCACAAGTACTGTGGTATTTAGAAAAAGTAACAGTCAGTCCCCAAAAGCAGCTTACCTGAGCTTGTTCATATAAATTCTGTAATTTTTCATTTTCTTGTTTAATTCTTGTATAATCACTCTGTAATCCAGATAACTGACTTTCTAGTTTTGTAATAATTTGACCTTGTTTATTAATCTCATCATCTTTTTCGTCAAGCAGTCGAAATAACTCACGTATATCAGCATCATTATTTGTTTCTGTAACTGGACAACTGCCAGTGAGTTTCTTGAGGAAGTAATCAAAATTGGAGGAACAGTTTTAAGACAAAGTAACAGAAATACTTACATATTATTTATATTAGTAGGTACAAAAAAGTAAATTTTGTAGCAAAACATTAGATACATAGGTAAATATAGGATTTAGCAGAGAGAGCTGTACACCAGCTGATGTTGCCATAATTTGATTCCACAGTATTCATACCAGTTGGACGAATAACGATAAATCAACGTTGACTCATTATACAACTATATATTTTCTAGTGTCACAATTCGAAAACTAGGTTAGTCGCGTAGTACTTCAACATATGTAAATGACTTTGTGGCTTAAAGCACTATAGCGTGCATATTGAGGTTTATGATGCACTCAAAATAGACATTATTAGTGAAACAAGTGGTAAAGATACACTATATGATAATTTAATGAAAAATGTAAACACGTGTCCACAAGACTTGTAAAATCATCTACCCAGGGATTTCATTCGCAGTCGTCCTATAATCCTAATGCTTTGAAACTTTTCGTTCTTCAGGTTAGTACTATCACTATTATTAATATTATTACTACTCCCTTAGGTTCCGAATGGAACACAGAGTTTCAACAGCACATCCTGTTTCCTCCTGTTCACTACAATCGCCTTCCACTGGCTCCATGACCGACTATATAGTCTCATATCCCTCTCACCTGGTCCCTTCTTACAACCTTCAGATGCCTGATTCATCATACCCCACTCAGTTTCTACTTGGGGTCCTGGTACAGGATGTCACTCAATGACCTTGTTAGAGTATTTTCGATCCATCCAAATTTTCTTCGCTGCCAGAGTCCCCTATTGCTAAACCTTTCTGACCAGCTGATATTAATAAAAGTTTGGAGCCTATAAGAAATGTTTTGATTAAGTCTCACAATGTTACACAGTAATGTTTACTGATGATGTTTGGAGCACAATTTATTGCTCATTATTATATCAAGGTAATTATGAGCAATAAATTGTGCTCGAAACTTCATCAATAAACATTACTGTATAATACTGTGAGACCTTATCAAAACAAATTTTTACCCATAATGGAATTATACTCCACCACAGTGCACAAGTTTTATTCTTATATTTGAAATGTGTTTCGTAACACGACAAGTTTTTAAACTATAAAGAAGCACTGAATGATCTGACATTAGCATCGAAGATAAGAATCTCTCTCTTCATTCTGAGTGTAGAAAGGTTCCAAACTGATTTCAGAGTAGTGGAAGTCTGTCTTGTGTTTCCGTTCCTGTCTCTAACATCCTCATCTGTGTCGCATATAGTTGAGACGATGCTGCATAGCTAAATAAGTGAAGGAAGTGACCTCTTTGAAATTTATTCTATTCATAGTAATTGGTGCCGGTTGTCGTTTTTGCTGTTGGTTTGGTTATCTTCATCAGCCCTATCTTCTCTGCGTCCACTTGAGGTCCTATGTTCGCTGCTTCTTCTAACAAATTGTTGGTTTTCTCCTGTAATTCTTCGATTTTGTGTGACATAAGGTATCCGCGAAGTTCAAATCTTCTAGAGTGCTCCTACTAGTTCGAAGTATTCCTGTCTTCTCGCTATCCATGTACTGTGTTTCGCATGATCGAGCCCACCACAAGTAGGAATATCATCAGTGATAGTAGGCAGACGGTCTTATCACGCTCCTGTATTCACTTCAAACGTCTCACTGAGTTTTCTGTTGTGTTTCACTTGACGTTTAGCACCATAATATGGCTAGTGAATGAGGTTGACAAGGATCTAGGGTACTTCATAGTGCTGAAGTAGTTTCAATATTATTTCGTGGTCAACGCTGTCGAAAGCCTTTTTTGAGTCGATTAATTTGAGGCAGAGATTTGACTGTCATTCTATGCTTTGTTAAACGGTGATATGTAGCGTTACGATTCGATCAGCACACAATTTGTTTTCATTCAATCCAACCCGATTCTGGAAGGCGGTTTGCATTTAGTGCAACCTTTAGTCTCTCCAGGATGACGCGACTTAATATTTTGCTTGATGTGAACAGGAAAAGGTTTCCCTACTGGTTTCTGCAAATGTTTACGAATTAGCATAGTAGCAAGTATTATTCAATTACACAATTTAAAAAGGAATCTACTGAAGGTAATATTCCTGCACTACAAAAACTAGCTATGTTCTAGAAGAAGTTGGAGCTATTTGTTTAAAAGAATTCCTTATATTTACTGTGGACACAGTTATGTATGTCTGTTTTATATTAGTTTATCCACCGTCAATATCATTTTTTTATATTTATAGTTATAAAATACCATTGTATTTCGTTTCTTTGCGTGCCTTGATCAAAGACATTTATCGAAATCTTATTTTGGATATCACATGACCATATATCTAAGCCTGTAGTCAGTAATTATCTCTAATCATAGCTGAAAACTTTCAGATCTTGTTGAAAACAATAATTTCAACATCAATTTCACCTTTATCACTCTATGCCTAACCAAAATAATACTTGCAATTATGCTAAATTGTCAAACGAAAATGCATGGAAACATTGTCACTGTACAACTGTCGAGAATGCAGTCATCGAAAAGGATATCTTTCCTACACTTCTTTTTATTCTCTCTAATATCTTGATGAGTATTTACAACAATTTGTTTTAAAAAAAAGAACATTCCAATCTGAAAACTGTTATGATAACTTGTCTTCAAAACACACTGATGAACAGTTTAAATAAATCAGGTATCTGAAGAAAGTTTTTCTATTCAACTACCATCTTCCATATTCTAGATAGTCATTGTTAGCGTTGCTCATTTTATCATACACTTGAAACTTGCAAACAAATTTCAATTTAAGGAACATTTATCCTGTTTCTTCGAAGCACGTTATTATTGCAGTGAACATTTTAAGGTTCTTTTTAAAACATCTATACATCTTCAAGAATTAGCCATGAATTATTTTTTTTCAAAACAACTAGACATATTCCTAATGTCTTACAGTATTCCGCTTCTCTAAAAATGAGTATACATAGTTGATTTCACCGTCTGTTGATAACCCGAGTGCTGACTTAAGAGTGTATAAAAAAACTGAATTCCATCAGTCAGCCTTCACTAGACAAAGGACCAGACGCATCACTTTAGTTACCACCTAGTATCTAATCAAACTATCCGTTAAAGTCCTAAAGAAGGTCAATCGTGAGCCCTTATGCCTCAGGGGTGACGTCTGTGACTGCACCACAGGGTAACCTGGGTCATAATGTCAGAAGAGTCATAAGTTCCTTCAATAATGCATATACGCCTTGCTGAAGAATACCGGAAATTACGAAACCTATGTCCAAGACTTCCCGGTTATTTCCTCCTACCATCTAGCAACAGTATTTTATGATTTGAGTAGTAATTTGGTTTACTCCTACTTCAGATGTCTGCTTCCCACTTTGGTCCCTCGATGAAGTAAGATATGTCGCTCATTTTAGCGAAAAAATTATTGTTAAATTCAATGTAATTAGTTGATATTCCGAAGTGTCTACTTATCTGAACATTATCTAGATAAATGTGTGTGTACATAAAACATAAACAAATTTGGACAGATGTATGATGAGTCTTAGGTAACAAAGCTGGTTCACTGCACTCAGGGATAAATGTACATCATTCATATTACATTATTATTTCTATGAGATTTCGAATGCAACAAAGAGCTTTAACATCACACCGCTATTCCCCCCTCACACGATTTCCTCCATGTCAGCATCAGACCCCCACCCAACTCGCCACTTTCAATTCGGACTCAACTCAGAGGACTGAATTGCTGAAATGTCACTCAGTGGTCTCCTCGGCGCCTATGTCCAGACCATTTCTATTTTCTTCCACATACTTGTTGGACGAGAGGTTGTTGGCAGCTTCACTACCAGAGTTCCTTGTTGCTAATCCTTTCTGACCGGCTATCTGAACTTCAGGATGGTGACAACAAAGGCAACTGTTCATGAAAGTATATATTCTGTTGAAAATGGTTTCAGTTACGCTCCAAACAAATCTTTGAACCAGAGTAACTCATTCATGTACTAAAAAATCATGAAATAAAAGCCTGATTTTGATGTGAAGCACTTTCGTGGTTGTTTTATGGAATCATTAAGCAAAACAAGAACAAGTAAATGCAGAACTCAGCTGCCAATAAGGCAAGCTATTTGTTATTGAAGAGATAGAAAACTCAAAGACATAGCCAGATACTACTAATTAGTGGGATTATATCAGTCACAGAGAATGTCACCTATTTTTAAAGTGTGAGAACAGTAAAAGTTATTTTCAGAGGTACAGTTTGGCTTTAAAACAGTTTGTTTTACACGTTATTTTTTCCTTATTTCCCAAGTCTTTTGATCAAGAAATTCCAAAACAAGGATATATGAAGTATTTCCTAACTAGATTATCAAAATCTTAAGCGTATACTTAAATATATAATGCGCAATTTTAACATTTTTAACAAATTTAAACAAAGCGAAGAATAAATGTGAACTATAGAAATATTAATTCTTACATGCTTTAGTAATTCCAAACTCGTTTGAGCAGGTGAACTAGGGTCATATTGTTCGTTAGCTGAATAACATAGCGATTGATTGACTGAGGGTGAGATACTCTGTTGTACCAGAGAATCCTTCAGTAGTTTTGCGTATTTATCTTCAGTGAACCAGTCATCTTTTGGCACTTTTTCACCTAATGTGACAGAAAGGAAAAGATTTTTAAGAAAATTGACCTTATTTCTGGTAAATAATGTCTAATTTCAGCGTGATACATCATACTTACTGTAGTACTAGGAAATACAAGAGAATTATCAACACTATTGTGGTAACCAGAGGTTCATCCAGTCAATATCTTAAAGGACTCTCCAAACCTACTCTTAGTTAGTTAAAATTTTGTTACTCCATCTGCTTTTTATTGCTAAATAAGCGTATTTATGTATCACTGAATTTTTTTAATCAGTAAAATATGTGTGATTAGAGATGGAGATTGTTTTTCATATCAAATCAATAGATAACTAATTCATTCGAGAACGAGCAGCTATGAGGTTCACCTATTGTCAATATATGCTCAAATTGCTCAAATTAGTGTTTATATCAGAAGAACAACCTACTTCACAACACAGACACTATTTCATTGTTTCACCATATTTGTAACAATCACTCTGCAAACTTGATTTATTCGAACAATATAAACGTACTGCGTAGATTTGGAAAAGACTGTCTTACCAATTAGAAGAATTTGCCCACCACTCAGATATCATTGTTCTCTAAAAATAACCAACCTGTACATAGTGTTTGTTTAAGTTATTTGAAAGCTGGAGGTAACGAGGCTCAGCTTTTCCAGCTTTAAGGTAGTTTTGTCCTGCTGATGATTGTTCCTAACATTTTGAGAACTTTTACTGAATTTAGTATAGTTCTGGTAAAAGATTTTCAGATCAGACTTAAAACTAATATTATAATCCAGCAACCACCAAATGATATAAGTTCTTATGCTAATTTATGGTCTAAATTATATTGCTGGACATGTTGTGTTTTTATTTCATCAACCAGAACAGTTGCAGTGGATAAAATTGTGCTATTCCATTTCTGTATTGGTTAGGATGAAGTAATTACACCTCATAAATGGATTCAGTCACTTCGATTTTCAGCAAAGTGTGTTTTAGACCAAATTTTTAGGGAAGAGATTTTTTAGTCATTCAGAGTGATATATATATATATATACGTATTTAACTACCAGTTCATTTCAAATGAAGAACAACTATTCATCTCCTCTACGAAAAATTGTGTCTTACAAATCACTCCGTTATTTCCTGTTTAGTTGTGAAAATTCAAACCACAGTAAGTTTCGAAGCAGTTTGGTGGACAGTTACTAGCAGTAGAATCTAGGATATGCATTTCATCCTATTTGGGACTTGTCATCTGCATGTACCTGCATTTTTCAGTGAGTGAAGGTATTTTCACTGAGATTCGAACCCACTACTCGCCGTCTCAAATGCCAGAACGTTATTCACTAGACCACTTGGGCCATTATTAATAAGATTAAGGTGATATCATACTGTTATGGGTGCAACAGACAGAATTTTGGAAGTAGTATGTTTTGTGTGAGGTTTTCTAAGAAATTATTGAATATAGGAGGTATGGATGAAGTAGTGAAGGGGAAAAATGAAAGATCCTCATTAAAACAGCACAGAAAACATGAAAAGAAGACAAAATAAGCACAAAACGGAGAACATGAACTAATGGAAACTTTAATGTATGTCTGTCTCTCCATATCCACACACCATCGGTGGTTCCGTGGAAGAGCACACGCTAACCCCACACGTGGTCCAAGATTCGGTCATCGGTAGAGGCACTCCTAAATTTAGCCAAGTCGGTAAAGAGGAAAGGTTGGGCATGATGCTAGCAACCCTACCTCGTAAAAATAAAACAACCACTACCGAAAGTTTAAAGCTCTAGTTTGAAGCCTTATGTTCCACTAGAAAACGTAAGGGAATAAAATTAAAAAGATAATAAAAGTACATCAACTTGCCAATGAACTATTCTGCTACCAAATGCTACAGTATTCTGTTGTTACACTACAATTCTTATTCCATATTTGTTGCTGCATAAATTTTTGAGTAAACAAGTAACATAAACCATACCTCATAGTCTGACTAAGTGGGATAACTTTGGACTTACATACTCCTATTGATATAAAAGACTTTGACCGAATGTGAAGTAAAAATCTAAGTAGCATCAGAAATGCAGTCAGCGAATTCTCTAAACTGAATATAAACCTATGTAAACAAATTTTATAGAATCACTTGATGAATGTAAACATACTGACTGATTGTCGTGAAAGTTCAGGCAAGCGCAATGTAAAGTGATCAATCCATAAACCACAAGTATGTACGAATGATTCCTGCTAAGCATAAATGAAGTTTTATAAATCACGAAGTGAAGAATTTCTGGATGGATGAGAAACACTTAAATATGCTTATAAGGGGTGTCAATGACCAAAACTCACACGTTATGGTCCACACGTAAGAAACCGATTCTCGAGTTCTACTGTTTCGCAGAACAAAACCTCCCTTCAGTTACTCACAGTCACAACAGGCATCAATGACAGAAAAATGACAGGAATTCGATATAAAATCTACGAAACCACTCAACAACAATAACATATCTAATAGTCAAAATTAATTCTGCCCGTTAGGCAGCTATACAGACAAGGTAGGCTTCTAGGTACAAAACAAGCACTGCAGAACAAAACAAGTTGACTGAAATTCAGCTGTGAGAAGTACCGTAGAGTCAAGTGGAATATTCCCAACATAGTAGCATCAAAGTCCTGTCAGCAAGAAACTCACAATAAACAACTCTCACAGACAGTCCAAGGTCAGAATCACCTTCATTCATGCAAACAGAATCACATTGAAAAACAACACTATCACTATCATCACACAGCCACAAAGAGAAGCATTGACATTAGAGACTGAACAGTGACAAAGACAAACAATAAGCATTCAGTCAACATATGATATGCCAGAGACGGAACAATGATACATAACCTGGGGTGTGGGGGAGAATTGAAGCGGAAAGTAATTACAAAGTTGATTGAAACATCCAAATAAGTGTGAACAAATCGTAGTAAGATCTTTGAGAGAATATTTCCAAACGGTTATTCCATCACATGGTTGTGCATTCCTTTGAAGCGTTAATTATTAAATTGATGAGTGAGTGAAATCAGAATTTTTAATGGCAGTGAATCTTTAAATATTTAAGTCAAATAGCAGTAACAATAATGACAATAATAAGTTGAAGAGTGTTGTAAAAGTGCAGAAATATGGTAACAAAAAGAACTTAAGTTGATCAGTTACCTATTTATTCAAGGTGCATATAGTTGAAAAGAATCTGGTGAAATGACATTTGTATCAAATACTATTCCTATTATAATTATTGTTCCCTTGGGTTCCTAGGGCTTCAACTGCACGTCTCCACTTGCTTCTGTCTTCTGCTGTACTTTTCACCTGCATCCATGTTAGTCCATACTGTTTCAACTCCTCTTCACACGATCTCCATGTCACCCTTGGATGTCCCTCTCGCCGCTTCCTTTTTGGGTTCCACTCGAGCTATGGCCTGATGCGCTACGTCACCCAGCGGCCTCCTCAGTGAGTGTCCAACTCATCTCCACTTTCTCCTGCATATTTGTTGGGCGATTAATTCTTGTTTTGTTTGTTCCCATAGTTTCTTGTCGGTGATTCTTTCCGGCCATCTGATCTTGAGTATAGAGCGAAGACAGTTGATGATAAAGATCTGCAGCCTGTTGCAAATATTCTTTGTGACACACTGGCCAAGTTTCTGATCCGTATAGAAGAACTGACTTGACGTTTGTATTTAGAATCCAAGTTTTGTTGTTGATGCTGAGTGACGAAGATCTCTAGATTGGTTTCAGGTTGATGAATGTGTTTCTCGCCTTCCCGATTCTCGATTTGACATCCTCGTCCGTTCCTCCTGTAGTTGAGACAATGCTCCCTAGATAAGTGAATGAAGTAACCTCTTTCAAATCCCTCCCGTTGATGGTGATTGGCGGTGGATGTTGCTGCTGCCGCTGTTGTTGTTGTTGGTTGGTTATTTTCATAACCTCTGTCTTGTCTATGTTCACCTGGAGTCCTGTCTTTGCTGCTTCTTCGACCAGTTTGTACTATTCTTAACACCCTGTTTATATTTGGATTACATTTATATGTGTATTTGAAGTGCAGAAATTAATTTCAAAAGTGCAGTAGTTCAGGTTGCCACACTTCACACATAAAGTTTGAGAAACAAACAGAAAAGACCATAAGAAACAAAAATGAACGACAGAAAGAATAATTGCATGAATAATAAGGAGAATTGAGTTCATCTGGAATTTCACGGAGAATGACTGCTCCTCCACCAATAGCCTTCAGCCATTGGTTCTTAGCTCCTCTGTGATCCATATTAGGGTGTCTACACCTTCTTATATGACTCAAACCAACAGTTAGAGACTTCATAGATTCATGCCATGTTTTGATTTGACTATCTTTTATCCGTTTCCAATCCTATCCTATGTCAGTTAAAATTACTTGATAAGGAAAGAGATGGCCTGATATGCGTGACATGATATAAACCGCTTACAATGTGATGTTAACTGATTTTGGTCTAACTGCCGTAAAAACGACCTTTCTGGAACAACCACATACCTAATTAACTGCATTTCAGAAAATATAAATATTCTGCTAACAACACTAGATCATTGCCTGCTTTACTGTTATTTGCACTTAATTTGTTCTTCTCAAACTACCATGTTTCAGGTTTTAAATAATTCCTAGAAAAATGTCAATGTAACGATTCCATCATTTTGTTCAGATCGCTCGATTCCCTCGAGCTTCTCCTTCTGCTTTAGATTTCACATAGTAAAATCCTAGCAGATACTGTAATCTTTAAAAACAGCATAAAGAAGTGAGAACAGCTGATATCAGATTTGGTGAATAACACTAACCACTCCTCCATCGTTTTATTTCGCTGTCAAGACTACTGAGAGCTCCACACAGGCCTTTTGTACGATCTGATTCACTTTCATACAATCGACGCCATTCTTCAGCTGTAAGTTGAGCATTCAATGTGACTTGATTCTTTATAGTTTTCGCCCTTACACCAAATGTAAACGTTGATTTTGTTTCATTCTGTGAAATAAAGAAATGCAGAGGAAACAATAAGTATTGATACTAACACTCATACTATTATGATCAGGCATTCTTGACTAGTTTCAGTCATTCCGGCACACCATTAATGCAGTCAAAACCGAATGAACTAGGTTTTTGACATATATTTATTCTAGTGTTTTTTTGAGTTGTCTAGTTATAAGTCAGGATGTGGTTGGCTTAGTAGTCAGTGACTTAAGGCCCAATCTTGCAACAATAACATACAAACTGTTCAGACATCTTAATGGCATTTTCATTGCTGATTAAAAGAACGTCATAAGTCAAACAGACAACTAGTCAAATGTCATTTAGAAGCTGGATTCTTGGATTTCAATCATATGAGTAGAATGTAACGACTGACAGTTTATTGCTAAGTCGTTCAAAAGAGATGAAATTATTAGTGAGCTAGGAGTGAAAGTAAACGACACGTTGCTAGGCTATTCCAATACATTAGAATAAATGTACCCAAAACTAGTTAATTCATAATCCTGTCTTTTGAACAACTTAGCAGCATATATTGTACCGTGAAGAGAATACTGTCGTTTGATTCAAAGCAGTGTATTTGAACCTTTGTAACGATCTAATTAGCTAACAGACAGTCTTGAGAACCAATCTAATTATTCTTTGGAACATAACTCCGTCAGTTCCCAAGACGGGACAGATTTGCACTGGAAAGATTTCAGGTTACTCAATAAAAAGCCAGTCTTCTGTTTAGCAGTTCCGTTCTTTCTACTTTAGAGTTGCAAAACACAGTCTTCGAGAGTAGAAGACATGAAAAGTATATAGGTTTTGCGATCGAACGTGCTTTCGTCTCACTACAGCAATATTGTGAGTGATGTTGAAATTAAACCTGGTGATTAGTTGGTTAAACAAGGAACTAGTCCGTTTAGTTATTAATTGTTGGTATGAGCCATGTGGAGTGTTTGACTAGAGTTCTTGGGTTGTAAAGAATTAAAAGTGAAAAACTTTTAATGATTTAGTTCAAAAGTATTCTCAACGATATAGTTGGTTTCTTTCCTTATCTAAGAATTTTTAAAAATTGCAGCTCGGACGAACGATATTCATGTAGTTATGGTCTGTGAGCTGGATGGCTTCATTGCGAAACTTTCATTATCTCTCTAGACAACATCTTCAGTACAAACTTTCTAAGACGACCAGTTATAGTCATCAGAAGCAGTTATAATATTCACGCGAAATTTTAGAAAACCCATTTCATACTGAAATCTACTCTAAGGACATTTTCTAGACAGAAGATGAAAGTTTCGCAATTTAACCATCTGTCTCAGACAACACAACTACACTAACATCAACTGGAAATTCCTCCTCTTCAGGAGTTATTGAATAGATTTCAGTTCGTCAGCTGAATTATCCTCTTCAAAAAGTCAATAACATCCTTTGTTAACATGCAATTTACCTTCTCTTGTTTCTGTCTGACCAGATTAAAATAGGTTTGACTACCACAGATTATATACTTATTACTTTTCTGTTACTTAAAACTAAATAACTAATTGCATCGTATACTGTATTAAGTGATATACAAAGGATACGATTTGGGAATAATGATTTTGTGCAAATTACCTACATGTTGTATTTTCCAGTTAGACTACGGATTGATATCACTTGGAGAACCATTGAAAACTAAGGAGTACTGGACAGATATTTCGTCCTAGTTTGGCACTCATCGGCAGTACGCTCCCTCTGGGTCTCGGATCCAGGACTTTCTGATTAAAAGGCAAGCTCGTAGACCATTCAGCCACTGGGATCCGATCCCATGGCCTATGAATGTGAACTCCTACTAAGCTTGCCTTGTAAACGGAAGGTCCTGGGTCTGAAACCCGGTGGGTGCGTACCACGAATGAGTCCCGAGCTAGGATGAAACAGCTTTTTTCGATGGTTGTCTAACTGGTATCAGTCCTTGGTCTAGTTCGAAAAACAAATGAAATCCTAACAAATCAACTTTCGAACATGTTGTATCTATCTGATTTTCCTCATTCAAGAATTCCCCCCTGATTATTAGATATTTTTCAGCCTTTAAAATTGGCTGAGAGAAAAATTTATGTATTTCATTTACCTACGACATCTTTAAAGAGTAGAATGAACTCAACGATCCAATTACAATCTATTCACATTTATTTCGGTGTTTCAATGAACTTTATAATTACTTTTCACTTCAATTCTCCCCCCAGCCAGGTTATGTATCATTGCTCCGTCTCTGGCATATCATATGTTGACCCAATGATTATTATTTGTCTTCGTCACTGTCTAATCTCTAATGTCAGTGCTTCTCTTCGTGACTGTGTGATGACATTGAAAATGTTTTGTTTTACGATGTGATTCTGTTTGAGTGAATGAATGTGATTCTGATCTTGTGTTGTCTATGAGAGTTGTTTATTGTGATTTTCTTGCTGACAGGGCTTTGACGCTACCTTGTTGGGAATATTCAACTTGATTCTAAGGTACTACTTACAGTGCTTCTTTTGTACTTAGAGGCTTACTTTGTGTGTATAGATGCCTAAAGGGCATTGTTGAGATAATTTTGACTATTCGATATTTTATTATTTTTGAGCGGTGCCTGAGATTTTATCTCGAATGACTCATTTTCCTGTCGTTGATGCCTCTTGTGGTTGTGGGTAACTCAAGGTAGGTTTTGTTCAGCGAAACAGTAGAACTCGAGAATCGGTTTCTCACGTGTGGACCACAACGTGTGGGTTTCGGTCCTAGTAAAAATTAAATTCATTATCTAAGCTTACTAGCTATACGTGATCGTTGTGCAGATAAACACCCTGTACTTGTTTCTAACTTGCCTTGTTCACAAAAGACATGTTTACAGAGAGTTAAATATCATGGATTTTGAATATTTTAACAATAAAGTTTTATGATAGGATCGCAATTAAATTTTTGCTACTACTGTTTTGAAAACGTTTATGTTGTCAGGTAATGTATTATATACATCTCCAACGTATACTAGCTTTGAGAAAGGTGCAAATTTAGAAGAATATAAAGTGAAATAAGTTTCGATGTCAGAAAAAAAATTGCAGTCACTATTTCTAGAAATTTTCAAGCTAAAATGATGTTTTTTGCAAACAGTAACCTACATAAACAACCGAATTGAAAATGAGTGTGTAAATTGTCAATCTAGGGGGTATCATTGATACAAGAATAAAACTTGGGCACTGTGGTAGGGTGTAATTCCATTATGGGTAAATTTTTATTTTAATAGAGTCTCACAGTGTTATACAGTAATATTTACTGATGACGTTTCGAGCACAATTTATTGCTCATAATCATATCAAGGTAATCACACGACTTCCTAAATTCATTTATATAGTATATATATAAGTGAATTTAGGAAGTCGTGTGATTACCTTGATATGATTATGAGCAATAAATTGTGCTCGAAACGTCATCAGTAAATATTACTGTATAACACTGTGAGACTTTATCAAAATAAAATTTACCCATAATGGAGTCTAGGGGGTACTTATAGTACATGAGAAATTGGAGAAAGTTAATAGTCTTAATCAGCAGACTCAACATTAAATGCCTAGTACCATTAGGCGAGCCAGATTTTGCATTTAAGAAGCATCAGGAATCATTTGAAATGAGCTATCACTAAGGCAGTATACACACATACTCGTGAATATATTAGGTTAACTTGTAGCCAATAAATACTTACTTCGTTAAACGATGCCGGAGAAGCAGCAATGATAATGGTTGTCTTTGAATTACCACCAAGTGATTGTTGTAGAATTCTGGTTAGTTTTGAATCTCGATATGGCACATGAGTCTACAATAGGATATATACATTAAAACATTTTGATAACAAAAGCTGAAAAATGGAATAGGCTGGATAAGTGGTTACTTCGGTCAGTCGTATATTTAAAAATCAGTTCAAGAGGATAGTTTCTTTTGTAACATTTCACAAATGAAATAAAATTTATTTGTTAAGAATAACTCATTAAATGCAACTTCTATCAGGTAGGAAGTTGACGGTGATAACATTCAGTGAGTGAAACGAAGACGTCACGTTATAATGCTTTATCTAGTCTCCTGGAGTGCTGTTTAGTTAGGCAATCCAAATTCTGTCACAAATTAAGCTTTATTTCATTTCCAATTATTCATTTCAACAGTTCATGGATTGTAATTGTCACGTATATCCCAAACGCATAAATTACAGTTTCTTACAGCTACATACTTCTGATTGATTGAGGTGAATACTTTCATAGCACTTTCATTGCTAACCAGACCGAAGTGGTCTAAACACTGGATGGCTTTTTTACTCCTTTAGATCCGAGCTCATTAGTGGCGTGTGTGAGTTGACTCAGCTAAGAGAACCGAATTCTAGCTATCTACCTGGGTAACCTGGCTAGCAAACACTACTGATTGATGTGAGTGGCGTACAGCTACTTATCCCAGTCAGTCAGTAGTATATGGTCTCACTTTCTTGATTGCCATTTCCGGTATCAAGCAGACCACATATTGTAATCTGAATAATTTTGGTTTCCAAAGGAATCTGTAGTAAAATGTCACCTTGAAGTTAGTAGAATGTAAATTAATTTGAGAATTGTGAGTTGGATTTATAATTTGGTACACAACTCACGCCATCAGCCATAGGGTTTTCACACTTATATCAAGAAAATATCTGACCACTTTTTAGTCTCTCTCAGTTCGACGCTACACTTTCTAGGTTAGATATTGCTTAGGTGTGAATATTACGTAGTCCTGTATGCGTTAGTTGACTAATTTATGAACTTATCTGCTGACTACTCTGTTTTACGCATGGCTCTTTAATAATTATTTCGTGGTTTAGTCAAAGACCTCTTTGCCGAACAAAGCACTGGAAGTACTAATTTCAATTTCCCTGAGATTTTACAAATATCATTTCATGGTCACGAAAAGGATGGTAAAAAAAGTTAAGTCATTGAATGTTATATGTGTGGTGAGAGCTGTCTGCAAAACAAAATTGTAAACAACAATTTACGTCAATGTTTACATCCCGAATCAGGGTCATGAGAAAAAAACAAGAACAAAGACTGACTAAACAACCAATCACAGCAGACTTTGCATGGGCGGATACGATTCGCAGATATGTCACCGGACTGTCTAAGAAACGGCAACAAAGGGATGAAAGAATAACCTTCAGCAGGAAAGCAACCAATCAGAAGATGTTGCTTCTCTGCTAACAAAAACGAATAATAATGTACATGAAAATCTGTAAATATCTGTTGATTTTCTCAATAAACGATCTGTTGCCTGGCCCTTGTCTTCTGTCGGTACACACATTCTTCAAAAAATTAACAGATCTTACAACATTGCCATGAACTGACCAGATCGCTGGTAAGTTGAATGCTATTCACAGTAGAAATCACGTCGAAGTTATATTCATCTTCTTGATAAGAATACATGACAAGTAATCGAATAATTTGTCAAGTCATCGTTCTTTAACATATTTTCACAAACGATTCATCTCTTAACCTAAGAAGACATAAAATGTCTTAAGAATGTACCTGGCAAAATTAATTATTATTGTCTCCTTTAGTTCCTAGAGGAACATACGGTTTCAGCCGCTCGTTTCTATTGCGTTAGGTTCTCCGCTAACGTTTCTACCTGGCTCCACGTCTGCCCACATGCTTTCATCTCCTCTTCGCATCACCTCCTCCATGTCACCTTCACACTGACTACCAGTTCACCACCTCCCAGCTGGGTTCCACTCGAGAGAGAGAGACACTGGCGTTTAATGCCACTTGATAGCTTGTTTTCTTAGAGTATGGCCAGTCCACCTTCATTTCTTCCTGCATATTTGTTGCACAATTGATTCCTGCTGGGTAGGTTTACTCCCAGAGATCCCTCCCTGTTGCTAATCTTTTCTTTCCATCTGATATTGAGCAAACATGAATTAAGGTTTGAAATCATTTTTACGCTATCGACACTTAAAAATTCCCAAAATATGAACAGATATCTTTTATACTTACATTGCCTTCAACTAGGGCATTAATTACACTGCCTAGTGTTGACAGAGATTTGTTTATATTTTTAGCTTCATCTAGTGTTGAGCCTTCAGAACCAGTCTTACAAACTTTTTCACTACCAGCTAAATCTACTAAATACAATGAACCATTCAATTGTTTTCCATTTTCACGATTATTTTGTTGAATAGAGATTATAAAAATTGAATGACTTCTTGAACTGTGTTCATTCATGTCTTGAAAAACGAAAAAAGAATAGAAATGTGAAAAGAAGTTTTAAAGATTATGAAACTGAATATATTTAAAATAAACTAAAATAGACCGATTATACTTTTGATTGGACACTAGTCAGTAAATAGTGTATTGTGTCTAGTCCTATCTTTGGTGCATGGTGGCCACCTTGCAAATGTGGCTGGTTAAATTCAGTTAGACGTTTCAACTAAATTTGTGATTATTGTCCCTTTTCTCCTAGATTTTTTATCATTGTTCTGACCTTTGCATATTATATGTTGACTTTATCCTTATTATTTATCTTTCTTCCTGTTTGATCTCTAAATTTAGTAAACTCTTTGTGATTGTGCAATGGTGTTGGTAAGGTGTTATTTTATGGCTGAGATTTTGTTTGAGTGAGTCAAGGTGATTCTGACACTGGATTATCTGGTGTGTGATTCTAGCTGACAGAGTTCTCATCTCATATTGTTAGGAATATTCTGCTTCATTCTCAGGTACTTCTTACAGTTGAATTTTGGTTAACTAGTTTTATTCTATGCTACTTATTTTGTACTTAGAAAGTTAGCCTGTTTGTATAGCTGCTTAACAGAACTGTTGAGGTGATTTTCAGTTTTTAATGTTATTATTACTGAATATAACCATAGATCCATCAACGAACAATCGTCTTTCTACTGTCTTTGGAGCGTTTTGTGACTGTGCGTGTCTCAAGGAAGTCTTGGTCAGCTATACAATAGTAGGTAAAGCTCGGTGTCCTGAGTTCAGACCACAACGAGTGCGTTTTTGTCGTTACATGTAGGTCTTCGAGCTTCAAATTTGAAGCTTCAGTAGCTATGATTTTATTTTTATAGGGTGAGGTTGCTAACCTCACGTCCAACCCCCCCCCCTTTACTGGGCTCACTGCTGGCTAAACGAGGTTTAGCCGAGGCATAGGCCGGGGATTGAAGCTAGGACCATGGGCGTGGTTGGCGAGCATCCTACCACTGAACCACCGAAACACAACTTAAATTTATGGTTCTTATTTTAAACTGATTACTAATTATGACACCACGCGGTCTTCAGTTATATCCATCATAAAATGTATACACTGCATGGTTCTGTTTGATATGGCTTATTAGTGTGATGCGTAACTAGTGTGAAGATGAGTGACAAATATCGCATAACACGAAATACAGTTTTTCTTAGTGTTTTCTGCAAGAAATAATCATTACAGTCTAGGATATAAAGTTTATTAAAAAATATAGACTAAGGTGTATACTTTCACAAGTGAAACTCACTCGTTACTGAAACATGTCTGTTTATTTTTCCTTCGTCAAGTGCCTCCAAGACGTCATTGGCACACGACACAAAGCGTTCAGTTACTCCCTTTACAAAGGACGAAATAGTTGAAAAGAAGACATAAGTCTAAAACCACTTCAACAACTTCTGAAGTGTCATAATCTGCTGAGTCACTGAGAAAAACATCTGTCAGAAAATATCTGAAAAATATTACGACTAATAGTGACTTTTGTTCTGATATGGAGAGGAAATCTCAAACACAAAGGGTCAAAGTTCAAGTCAAAGAAACAATCAGTTTCAATACAAGTAGCTTAGAGGGTGGGAAAACACGCAAAAACAACCAATCACGTTCAAGGTCACCAGGAGAGATGACTAATAAACTCGTGGAGAAATCTGAAAGCTCATTTCATCGAATTGAAGTATGCACTGAAGATGTTGCCTAGTAGGGTAATGAAAGCTTCGTAAATTAATTATCCAGCGCAGAGAACACAACTACATCAAAATCATCCACCTGAGCTACAAATCTTCTCCATCATATCTAAGCAGTGTTATACATGAACTAGTTTCAACAATTATATGACCTTCAATAGTTTGTTTGTAGGAATTTGATATGTTTTGCAAGGTCGACCACGGACTGATATCATTTAGAGAACCACTGAAAACCAGGGAGTACTTTGCAGCTCTTTCGTCCTAGTTTCGGACTCATGAGCAGTTGAGTCGGGTCCCAGTGGTTCAATGCTCTACAAGTTTGCCTTGTAGCCGGAATGTCCTGGGTTCGAAACCCAGTGGATGAGTACTGCTAACGAGTTCTAAACTGGGGCAAAACAGCTGTGAAGTACTCTCTGGTTTTCACTTGTTCTCTAACTGATAGCAATTCCTGGGCAAACTTGAAACAAATATATGATCCATAGGTGTTGAGCGGTAGTCTGTTAACGTCATTATTAAGTGAATGATATACGTTGATTGGACACTAGTAACTAGTGTGATTTGTCTAGTCCTTTCTCTGGTGCAGACTGAATTCTATCAGTTAGGTTTACAATGTGGACACCATTCTAGGTAGCAGCTCGCCATCAAGGTGCACATTGATTTGATGATATTAGATGGTTGGAGGCAATCGGCAGGAAGCCGATGAATAATATTCATCAAAGTGCACATTATACAAATAAGCAATACACGACTATATAACAAGATTTCAACGTGTCTGATCTAAACTCAAAAGACAGTTTTAAAATACTTCACCAAGATTCATTAATACTCAAGTATGATTTTCGATTAGCAAATATCCTCAAGAAGAAACTAGCAGTCTACCAGATAATAATAACAATAACGGAAGGAAACTTTGTAAAGAGAAGAGGGAAGGGAAGGAAAATTATCAAGATAAAGCAAATGTATGCTACCGAGGTAGATTTAAGGTAACTACTTTCTCCTTTCCCAAAAATAGATCCAGATTCTTTCAACTGATTGCACAAGCTTCGACGAAATCAAGAGCTCTTTTTATTAGAAGACTTATCGACAAGTATTAAGCTTTTACTTAATGCCGCCGTATGATTTAGCTGCTTTGGATGCGATTATGAATGCTGGTTTTCTTCAGAGACAGTAATTTCTATCTGCTTATATTTACTTATGAGTAGTATATAATAAACTACTGTAATAACCTTTATAATAAGATGATAACTGCAATTGAAATGTTAGTTTAACTCACGGGAAGCTTTTTCAGTTATTGGTGTGAAATACACTCAAAAAGCACAATCACATGACCTGTGTAATCATTGGTTATCTTACCTTCACATATGCCACATGATCTTTTGATTCATAAATCGGTAAATTTGTTTTGGTAACTTAAATGAAAAATTTTAAATTAAAAAAAAGAGAATTACTAATAGAATAAACCTACTGTCCAGTAAATCTTTAATCTTTTCCAAGTATACTTCAATGTACGAAACCTATCGTAAGTTGAAATTTATGCATTAGAACAACAAAAATATTGCGTTTACCTTGATCAAAAATTCTAGATTTTCATCCATTCTTTCAATGTGTAAAAAGATGTCTTCAATAACCCGTGGTATCACTCCTTTATACACTGGATCCTTGATTTTCCCCTTGTGGGCATTTTTGTTAGAAAGAGAAGTGAAATATAACATAATCAAATAAAAATATATAAAAATATTATGTTTCTACCTATTAATAAGCAAATATTTCATTGTTAAATAACAGAATATAATGTAAGCCTGCATGCATGAATGTAACAGACCGATGGTACTACTGTGGTGAGAGATGCCTGCTACCCAAAGTGGTAGACAGTAATTGACGTTAATGTTTATGTCTCAAATATTAGTCATGTGAAAACAAGGTCAAAGATGGACCGCAGACTTTGCGTAGGTGGATACAATTAGCAGATAGATGATCTGACACTCAAGAGACAGCAATAAGGAAATGAAAGACTAACTTTTAGTGAAAAACAACCAATCAGAAAACCGTGTTTGTCAGCTAACAATAATCTATAATATTGTACACGAAAATCTATAAATGTGTTGATTTCATTAATAAACCTGACTCTTGCCTTGTTCAAACTGGAAGACATCACCTTGAACTTTTCGATTAACATTTTAGTATCTGCCGTTTTGCTAGTAGTCTTACTAATGATCCCAAACATAGGGATATAAGTTATTTGTGTTAACTGTCTTCATATACTGAAAAATATTTCTTAATATTGCTTAGTAGTCAGAGCCGTTTATTATGTCATGTCACCTAATGATCATTGAATATCTTGTGAGTAGTATTCAGGAACATATTACTCTTACCATTATCAGTATTATTATCAATAAATAACACCATAGTAAACATTATCACTGAGATATAAGATAGAACTATTAATTTTAACAAAATAAATATTTCGCTGTGTTGAGAATTCGTAATCAGTAAGGTTCACCAAGTCAGGTCAAAGAACTGTTACTCGCCTATACCATAGGCTGGCGGTTGAGCTATATTTGTCGCGAATCACTAGAAGTTGGGATTCATGGGCCACTGGATCGGATCCCAGCGAATGAATGGTTCACAAACTCTCCTTGTAATCCCAGTGGGTGAAGAGTCCCAAACCAGGACAAAAAAGCAGGCTAGTACTCCCTAGTTGCCCAACAGTTCACTAATCGATGTCAGCCTGTAACTTATCAAATCCGTGCACACCAACGATTGATAATATTTTATGACAGATGTTATCAGTGTTATTTTGGTGGATGGTGACTAGCAGTGGAATCCAGGATGCACATTTCGTCATGTTCGGAACTTGTCAGGTGAACATGCCTTCACTCACCAATGAGTGGTGATGGTCTCAATGGGAACTGCAGGCAAATCCAGACGACAAATTTCATATGCGATGAAATGAGCCTTCTGGAATCCAGAACTAGCAATAATCCACCAAATAACATCACATTAATCCTTAGACATCTTCGAAGTATCCACAACAGAAGCCGACACACCAACAGAGATTGCACGTTTTAGTTCAGTCAATCAACGGGAAGACAAAAATTGATTTAAACAAACAAGATGTTCTTAATTTTGATAGTGGGATAAAACTTTAGTTTCCTCACACTTTGTTCATTAAATAAGGTCATTCCCCTCTTTCTGTAATGAAGACGATGAAAGTCCAAGGACTAATCCTCAAAAACTTTTGGCATTTTGCAAAGTTTGTTTTTAACTTTGAACCTGTTTTACTTAGCTTGTTTCTAGAGCTTTTCAACATAACTAAAAAATATTTTCTGCAGCCATTGACAATTAACAGTCAGAATGACTCCACTAAATTGCAAAATGACTTTTGTCGTTGTAAGACTATATGTAATACTTTACATAAGAATAATTCCCATATTTTAAGTAAATCAATGATTAGAGATGGGATCAGTGTCGGACAGTGATGAAATAGATCGAATTATCTTTGACTTTAAACACAGTTTCCAGGTGACCTGTCTTTTCCTATTTAGACTGGTTTCTCAGTTTTGTAATAGGTGTGAACAAATCAGCCTCTAAGGTTACTGAACTTTCATTTAAGTGCTTATGTAGCGCAGCTTACAGCCCCATATTAGATGATTCTGTATGATATAACACACTATGATACAGTTTTGAGAAATTGATGACATTTCAAGCACAGTCATTTCACATTAATATGATTATGAGGAATGAATTGTACTCCAAACATCTCCCGCTTATTAATTTTGCCTCACTGTGTTATGCCAAATAAAGTTATTTAACATTGAGTTATATAACACCACAGTAGGCAAAATTCTACTGTCACTCAGTTTTTTGATGTGGTTTTGTTCTCTGAGCTGGATAGTTAACTTGCGAAGCTTTCATCACCCTACTAGGTGACATCTTCAGCGCATACTTCAATTTGAAGTAAGCTTTTAGATTTCTCCTTAAGTTTATTACTAATCCCTCCCGGTGACCTTGGACGTGATTGGTTGTTTTTGTGCGTTTTCTCACCTTCTAGGCTGCATGTATTGGAACTGATTGTTTCTTTGATTTGAACTTTGACCCTTTGTGTGTGAGGTTTCTTTCTTATCGGTCGATAAATTTTGTCAGTCCCTATGTATCTATTGATTGATGATTCACTGGAATGCCAAGCTTCTAAAAAGTCTCTAGCATTTTTGGTGTTTCCTCTGTCTAATATTTGAACATTGTCCCAATCGAATTGATGCCCATGGTTGACTGTATGTAGTGATATGAGGGAGTGGATATCATGTCTTTTGACAGCTAGCTTATGTTCGTGGATACGAAGACGAAGGGGACGTCCACTTTGGCCAATGTAGTGTTTTTCGCAGTTGTTACAATTTATCTTGTAGATGATGTTGGCTTTATCTTCTTTCGCTGTTGAGTCTTTTGGTTGACATAGAAGTGAGTGAAGTGATTTTGTTGGTTTGTGAGCGACGTCAATTCCTAAAGTTTTGACGAGTCTTGCAGTGATTTCTGATATATCCTTTATATATGGCAGGGCGACTTTCTTTGTGCTTTCCTTGGGAAACAACAAAAATGCTAGAGAATTTTTAGAAGCTTGGCATTCCAGTGAATCATCAATCAATAGACACGTCGAGATTGACAAAATTTACCAACCGGTAAGAAGGAAACCTCACACACAAAGGGTCAAAGTTCAGGTCAAGGAAACAATCAGTACCAATGCAAGTAGCCTAGAGAGTGTGAAAACGCACAAAAACAACCAATCACGTCCAAGGTCACCCACCAGGAGAGATAACTAATAAACTGGTGGAGAAATCTAAAAGCTCACTTCAAATTGAAGTATACGCTGAAGATGTTGCCTAGTAGGGTGATGAAAGCTTCAAAAATTAACTATCCAGCTCAGAGAACACAACCACATCAAAATCATCCACCTGAGCTACAAATCTTCTCCACTGTCACTCAGTTTTCAGAGTCTCACTGTGTACTTGAGGGTAAATATATATATTATCGCAGTATCGCCATTATTATTGTTCCCTTAGGCTCCAAGTGGAATATATGGTTTCAGTAGCACATTTTCACATTGTCCTATTCTTTGCAATCATCTTCAGCTATCCTCACGATTGCCCATAGTCTCTCATCTCCTCCTTCTCCTCATAACATGACCTCTATCATGTAACCCCAAGACCCACACCATTCGAGTTCCACTCGAGCAATGGCCTGCATTGCGTGCGATGTCAGTCGATAGTCTCCTCAACATGTGACTGTTCTATCTCCATTTTCTCCACCATATTTGTTGAGCAATAGGTTCTTGGTAGGTTTGTCTCCAGAGTCTTTTGTTGCTAATTCTTTATAGTCATTCGATCTTCAATGTGGAGCCAGTAAAGACATCTGTTGATAAGAGTCTGCAGCATCCTATTGAAAATCTTTTTTCGCGACGCGTCAATCGTCGTAATCTTGCTATACTGCACCATGTGAAGTAAGCTAGGCAGCAGTCTAACAACATATTTCCTGAAAGCAGTAGCGGCTACAACTGGGATGGAACAGTATGTGGTGGATATAACTAAAAAAGTTATTCGTTTTCATGTAACCATTTGTGAAGCAGGTAACGCTGGTGGTGTGATACAGACAATGGGTTCCAAAGGAATATTATTCTCGCAGCAAGAATCATTGTATTTGTTAGTGTTAACATCTGAATACCATTCCTACAGTTCAATACTGCATTAGCAACAGAATAATATGTATGTATATAAGCATTCTATTTCATGTCGTTTAATATAAACGAAAATCACGCACTCAGAGCGATTCGTTAAAGAATATTAACTGTATAGATATAAATAGCTGTTTGATCACTTAAAAATATACCTTGGCTTCCGTGTCTTGTCTTCTGCTGTTACAAAACCATAAAATATATAGTAATTAAGACTAGAGAAACAGACACTCAGGGAATTCTAATGTGCTACACAACATTTTGAATTGGAAATCAGTGAAATCCATAGCAAGATATATACAAATAAATATATAATACCTCCATTGTGTACGTCTTCCCAGAAGCTGTCTGTCCATAAGCAAATATAGTGCCGTTGTATCCATTCAATACAGAGGCGACAATTGATTTTGCACTACGTTCATAAACTTCACTCTGTGTACAATTTGGCTGGAGAACAGCATCAAAGGTATATGCCTTGCCCTTAACAAAAGTACAGTATAGTTGTAACACAGATTTTGTTTAAGTTAACTGGTTATGATGAGATAATAGGGAAAAAGTTTGCATCACCTAAACTGACGTTATCTCTCACTAAGGGTTTATTGAATCATTCGTTTCGTTCTTCATCTAATACGAATACAAATCAGACGGAGACAGAATAACGTTCCAAGGGTAATATGTAGATACAGTTGAGGATACAGTTATAGGATAAATAACTGTGAAAAAAATTTCGAAAAGTGCTCAGAATTTTCCAAATCTCGCTCATCGAGTTTATTTGATTCATTGTTTTAAATGTTTTTACGTAGAATTTTCAAACGAAAATGTAATCATGGGAGATTGTTTTACATTTCCAACAAATGTATCTTTTGTTTCCTAAAACCTCACAATTTTATCAAGTTTACAAATCGCGGAAATTAAATCGTCACAAATAAATCACAAATCATTAAAGTTCTACTGTGTTTTAATAAGAATCAAAACAAGCCTGATTTACAAGTACTGTTTTTTGTAGGAATTTTGTTTAATTGGTTGGAGGGTTTCATCATGAGCTGACATCAATTAGAGAACCATTGGAAAACCTGTAGCGAGTACTCGACAGCTATTCCGTCCTAATTTGTACTCTTTATCAGTACACACCCACCGGTGTTCGAACCCAGTACCTTCAGGTTACAAGACGAGCACGCTGATCATCAAAACACCGGAGTGATATCCAATGGCCTGGCATTTCTGACTTCTGTCGATTCTCTACAAACTAACTCTTGAAATTTGCACTGATGCTCACTAATGGCTGATTACAGGATGAAGTTGCCTGGAGTTTTAACGAGAAGTCGTGATCAGTGAGGTCCACTAGGTTAGGTGTGAAGACAAATACTCGCCTATAACACAGGCTGGTTGTCGCGTTAAGATTGCGAAATGACAGAAGTTAGAATTGGCGAACCCTGAGACCCCGTACCAACGGGCGAATAGCAAACTGAAGGTACTGAGTTTGATCGCCAGTGGGGTTAGAGGTGCGTGCTGATGAAGAGGTCCAAACTAGAGCGAAACAGCTGCCCATTATCCCTTGATTTTTGCTGATTCTGTAACTGATAACAATCAGTGGTCAAGCCTAGAAACTTATTAGAAACAAAAACGAATTTTGTCAATTCATTTTGCAGTGGTTTTCTTCTGAGACTCAGACCAAGTACCCTTCGTCTTGAAAGTCATAGAATAACCTGCTTACTATGCTTCCGTTTCACGAGAGACATAGCCTTTACGATAGGCAGTAATTATTTCACTTTTTGGTTGCATGCTGTTGCATATTTTTCAACCGTAGTGATTAATTTCTCTACTTTGATGTCACCATGGTTTGCAATTGATTTCTTCAGAATACATGTTTCGTCTTAAGCAGAACGCATTAGATGCCTCTTTTGAAGCAGTATTGGTTACATTCAGACGATAATATTCACGATAAACTTTATACAACAGTGTCCCTACGCATAATGAAATATCTTACTAAAGGTATTAGAACAGATACTGAGTATTTACACAATTCCAAACCTTAATTGTCCGTCGAAGGTAAAGTTATCAATACTGTATCATTGTATTTTATGTAGAACTGTCTTACCAGAAAGAAATCTCCAATTCTTCACTACAGCATCAAGAATGCTGTATGTCGTCACATGATTCCTACTGATAGGCATTAATACAAACAACTGGTTTAATACACTGGGTAGTACCTAATATCACGCGTCTAGTCCTTGGTGTGGATGCTGATACTGAATTCTATCAGTCCAGTTTGCAATGTGTTCTCATTCTAGGTGGCTTATCATCCCGGTACATTCTGAATTGTTGTTAGATCTTTGGAGGCAACTGGTAGGAAGCCTTGGACCACCTAATAACAGTTCATAGTGTATCGTGATGGCGATTCACCTAGGATAGGATCACATCGTAAACTTCACTGAAAGATCTCAGTATGCACCAACACCAAGGACTATACGAATGACATTAATTACTACTTATTGTTCAACCAAAGTATCCATCACAGTCCTACAAGAGGTCAATCGCTAGCCCGAATAGCTCAGTGGTAACGTTTATGACTGTGGTACTGGGTAGCACAGGTTCGAACCTTAGAAGGGTCGTGAGTTCTTTGAAGATGGATGATACATACGCCTTGCGCATAAGAGATAATAGTCACAAGACATAGGTTCATAGCTTCCTGGCGATTGCTTTCAACCAACCAGCAACACGTTTAATTAAAGAAACTTAAATGCATTTCCAGATTCTAGTTAAAACAAAGGAAAAACTGCTCAAATTCCTACTATATATGTTAACTAAATATTTTGAAACACTTCTGATATTATCGGAATAGAATGCTCGTAGACAGTTTAGCTACTTGTGCTGGAATAGTAAACTGTCACTTCACTAATGACTACTGGATGAACTTCCTGTAGCTGCAGGGGGAAGTCGTGACCAGTGGTGTCCACCACGTCAAGGTGAGGTAGATTCTCATTCCTATTTCAAACTCAATGTTATTGCGAAATACATAAGAGTGGCTTCATCGTTACACAAAATTAATTAAAATTGTTTATTTTAGCTAAGCAACTTACTCCAATAGCCACACTGTTTGGTCCAGGAAATGAAACACTCATTGTACTATTTTTCATTCTTTCCATCTGATTTAATGGTCGAATTCGACAGACAACATTTATTGCCTCCTTCTTTACATTATTCCTAGACTCCATTTGTGACGTGCTGTGTCGATAACAATGTATAGAAATGAACTGTAATTTAATTAACTGTATTGATTCAGAGTTATTGATTTTAACCGATTGAGTTTGTAGTAATATATGTTATATGATAATGAGGAACAGGAGAGAATACAAAACAAGTAGCCTTATTTATTAAGAGGTTATATCTTCACACCAGAGTTTTCAGCTGTATACTTACCAAGCTTATTTCTGTTTCTCATGAAATGTCGAACTGACAGTGAATACTTTTGATTTAGTTGTGTTCTCTGAGCTGGTTGATTTAATTACGAAGCTTTCGCTGTCCTTCTACACAACATCTTCAGAGCAGGTTTTAGTATGAGAAGTATGACAGTATGAGAGTGAATCTTTCTGGCTTACAAAAGTGAAGCTAATTTTGACCCGTATTACTAAGATAACAAGTGGTTCATTGCAGATACTTTGTTTAAATCAACTCAATTAAACAAGGTTAAATTTGAGTTTGAGATTAATTCTTAGGGTATATAACGATAGCCTAGGAACATACCACATCACTCTGAATCTTCCCAATGCATCTTGTAATTTTTAATTGAAAATGACTGATGCTATGAATTCAGAATGATAATAATCCTGGATTACATGTTCAGGAAAAGTCAGAAGAACCGTTGTGCCTATTTTGGTCCCCAAAGAAATGACTATTTCTGTGATTTTGGGAAAAAGAAATCCCCCTCTTACTATGATTGTCACTCCTTTCATATCTCTGCCGAGTACTTATTCAGACTCTGTTTATCTGTTGCTTTCATCTTTATTACCACCATACAATTTTATTGTTATCTCTAGGCTGGGATCTACTAAGCCTTTTAGAACATTTATCTGCATAGACCTGCTGTATTAGCTATCACTGTCATCACAAATGCTTCCATTATCAACCCGAATGACTTATTATTAACAATGACATTGAATAATGGAATTAGCTCAGACCCTTCTTATCGTCCTGTCTGTAAATCACCTTACTGTGTCTTCTTACTCTCCGCAACTGCTCGTGTGTGAATTCTAATTCTTTCGTGCTTACTTTGAAATTTGCAGAAACCATCACAGCTTCATCCAAAGCGTACTCAACCACCCCTTTGGTAAGGGAGTAAAATATCATTGAATCCTATTTGCCGCTGGATTATATAACTTAAATTGCAGAAGTTGGACTTAAACATACCTGTAAGTAACTGTAACTTTATATGACTTATTTACCTTGACAGTTGTCATATACTTTTTGAATATCGTAACTAATTTACTCTTTTTATTTTGATAATTAATATGACAACTTGTAGTGACCCATTTTATTATTTATCATCGTAGTGTACTTTCACTTTCACTGTAATTGGACTTTGATTTGCTGATCACTCTAAAGACTGTGTGTTAACAATTGATACATTTTTGTACTCGCGCAACTTTTGAATTTTAACTACTGCGATAATACAAGTTCGTACTCCTTCTCAAGTGCCCCTTGATTTACGTTGTGGATGTCAAGTAATCACAACGTTAGGACACAATAATCAAAGTAAAGAAGTATTAGGATATACGTGTATGCTAGTTTGGTCAAATAGAGCAACACAACAAACTGACTTTAGTATTTAGTCCACCACAACCATGATTATGTTGTAGTTAGTACTCAAATGTTAAGCTTTGTACATTATAGTAAAGCTGTGTGCGTCCAAACTGAGAAGTCAGAAAGATCTCAAAGGTAAATTTCGCATTACTCTACTATAGTGTAACCACTGATGGATGGTACGTTTACCTGTCTCACTGATAACACTTTGGTACACTTTTAACATCAAACTAAAGTTAACTATTACAAGATTCTTATAGAACATATGTACAGGCAGATTTTGTCACGAATAAACATCCGTTAGGGAGAAAAAAGGAAACAAGGCGTGTGGTGGTGTGAGACAGAATAATATTCCCACGGTTAAGTACTTGATTGGCAGCAGAATACTATGTATATATGAACATTCTGTTTCATGTCGTTTGATGTTAGCCGAAATCGCACGCTCAGTAATTGGTTAACGAATATAAACTGTAGATATATCAACGGCAGTTTGCTTCCAATATCCAATATCATTTTTATGAGCTAGTATAAACCAATTTGATTTCTTTGTGCTCGCCTCTTGATTGTGAGGTAGGGGTTCCTGATCTTAATTAAAAATAAACTTTGACTTCCGTGTCTTGCCTTCTGTTGCTGCAGGCGTACTGGAAGTCTGTTTCACTCTAGTTTGTGAATGATAAGCACAAACGATCCCAGTGGAAACTAAATACAGGACCTCCAGGTTTCTTGGCAAAACGTTTCGCCATCAGTTTACTGAGGTGTGACAAGATGTCGTTATAAGAACTCAATTACTAGGAACAGGCACTTGTTCATGTACCAGGCTGAAGGACACACTTATTGCATGAAGAATGATGATACTACTCATTTACCAAAACTGAAGTAGTTGCAGAGGTACTGAAACCTGTGACCCAAGTGACCTATACTCCCACCGGAGTCGAAAGATCCATGAATTGTGACTACTGCTAATTCTCGACTGATCCCACCACTAACGAATCCATGCACACCAAATATCTAACTTTGACGGTTTTTCACTTGAAATATAACATTTAAAATGGTTTAACATCTTGAAAATTTAGCCCCGCCTGATATACTAGTTTCCTAGTTTTATAGATGGTCCTAAGCCTGGAAAAATGGGAACGCTGGGAGTGGAGCTAGCGACCATACCCTAGGAAATCAACCCAGTCAGTGTGGAAACTTCAAACCACTTCCAACAGACTTTTATCAACAGCCTCCTTAGCATTCTTCATACTGAAGATCAAATGACCAGAAAGAATTATTTACAAGAAACTCAAGCAACAAACCAACCAAGAGCCGATCGGTCAACAAATATGCAGGAGCAAATGGAGATGGTTTAGACACATGACTAGGAGATCGTTTGGTGACATCCAGTGTAGTGCAGGCCATCACTCGAGTGGAAGCCATATGGGAAACGATGAGTTGGTCTTTTGTCGGAGGGTGACATGGGGGAAATAGCATAAGAGGAAGATGACAGACAATACGCAATCATGAGACCAGATAAAGAGTATGGCAGAGAATAGTACGGAGCAAAGATATGATATTTAAGCCTTATGTTCCACTTGGAAGCCAAGAGAACATGAATATTATAATAAGTGTATAAACAGGTGCATATCGAATGCACGTTTTCATTTTTATTCCTATGGGTTCCAAGTGGAACGTAATGGTTCTGCAGAATATCTCCACTTCACTATGTTTCCTGCAGTCTCCTTTATTTGGCTTTACGATGCCACATAAGCTTCGATTTACTCCTCACACCATCTTTTTCAGAGCATTTACCCGTCAGATAAATAATGTCTTATCGTTTTGTAGCGGAAAATAATTCCCTATTATTATCTCACAGCTTTTATGTCATTCGAAATTGACAGTTGACAAGGCTAATTGGTTAAGCTGAAAGTACTCCGCCAAGCGCTCATGCCATATGGCGCACTGCAGGGTAACGTTCTTCTGATTGTCCATGACCCTTAGTCAGTTAAATACATATAAATGGACGGCTTTACAGATGTCTGAATTTATTTCGTATTTTGAGCGATCAAATTGTTTTTACGTCTTAGCCTTCTAACTCTTCTCTGGTCCCTGCAAAGTAAATAAATTTTGGGAGTACGCTAGCTATTATATTATCGCACTCTTTGACACCTGTTATCTTCTAATGCTTTTCTGGAATTCATGAAGTGAACTATTTGCTTCAGTCTGTAGTGTACATTGTACCTTTGAACTTTTGTTTGAATGAATGCAACCTGACATGTTGAACTTCGCTTCCACTTCCGTTTTGTACCCCGGTTCCTCCTGTACGGTTACTGTCTCGCTCTCTCGCTGTACTTTCACCTAGTACACTCTACGAGCTGACAGCCGTCTCACATCCAGATAAGTGTGTATTTTTTATTCCTTATCAAATTGCATATCTCGTTGTGTAAATATAATTGCGGTCCGGTTAAACTTGGCATTTTGAGTCTTCTAACTTCAATTCCGTTTCTTTGGTACTTGCACGTAGGCAGAGTACTAATTAAGGTTATAAACGGTGAAGGATTTTTGTAAGAGTGTTATTGTCAGTTAGAGGCAAACCCTAAGTCCAACTCTTACAAGTGGTGAGCCCGAATTTTCACCGTTGCCTACCTTTTAGCCTAGCGTGTAAATAGTCCATTTTCATATTGGTAATTTGTTGGTCATACAGAGTTGTAAATTTTTATTTGTCTTGTTTTTACTCGTATTTTTTTGTTGTTATCATATTTGTTGTCATTTTATTAATATATCGTCTCGTGTGCAAAATGACTGACGCCAGTCCCGCCTCAGAAATGGCTATTACCTTGCAACTCCCCACCTTCTGGACTCAGCATCCTGCCCGATGGTTCGAACACATCGAGGCTATGTTCGCACTTCGTAATATACACTCACAGGAGACTAAGGTGAACCTCGTTATAGTAAGTCTTCCTGAGCACGTCATGGAAGATGTATCTGATGTCCTTGCGGACCGATCCCCGGGCTTGTACGAGCGTCTCAAGCAGGCGCTTATTAAGCGCGTGGCACTTACCGAACAACAGAAAGTGCAGGAGCTATTCCGAGACGTCCACCTAGGTGATAGAAAGCCCACCCAACTGTTACGTCAAATGAGGCAGTTGGTGGCCGACTTCAAAATAGATGACGCCTTCTTAAAACAGCTGTGGTTACAACGATTACCACAAACGATTCAGACCATTTTAGCCCCAATCAACCATTCCCCCTTATCTGAGCTAGCTGAGGCAGCCGATAGAGTAGTAGAGACTACTACATCAAACATGAGTATCTCGGCTGCCGTTACCGCTAGTTCCACGCAGACTAGGACCTCCTCTGCCGTGGAGTCATCCAACGTTGATGTGGTGGCTCACCTCAATAAGCTGTACGAAGAGATAGATAAGTTAAAACTCGA